CACTGTGGGATCTCCTGTCTTCGTCTCTGTCCTTCAAATGATGTCTCCATGAGAATTCCCATTTGGGGGGACAGTTATTGGGGCAAGGGTGGGGTAAGACACGCTACGTGAACAATCCCCAAACCTCGGCAGCTTACCAAACCAAAGGCTGCCTTTTCACGCACGTAAATCCAGTCTGTGTCCAGGCACCCAGGGATCCAGCCCGACCGATGACTACAGTTGGCCGGGCAGAAAAGGGGACCTGGACCCGGTGCCGGAGCTCAGGACTCCCAGCAGGAAGCAACACGCTTTGCCACGGCTCACCTTTCACTGGCCAAAGAGCTGCAGCCACTTTCAAAAGAAGTGTGATTTTACTTCCCGCCCGGAGGGAGGAAGGACACAGGGACTGCTCTGAGTACCAGCGAGGCCAAACGCATCTCCATGGACAGCACCGCCCTGAGAGCGCTGGCCCAGGTGGAGTATACCTCACACGGGGACCCAGCAAACACAGAAGTGGGTGGGGGGTGTCTTTTATGGACTAGATGACAGGTGACTTTTTCCACACGATGCCACAGAAGGTCTACTGGATCCCAGCCGCTGCTTTTACTTCACTGGTACTGGGGACCTAACCAAGGCCTTTGCACCGAGCTGCATCCCCAGATGATCTCACTAAGTCGCTAAGTTGCAACCCATGCTGGGTTCAAATCCGTGACCCTCCTGCCTCAGCCCCCAGAGTGCTGTGATGCTGGCCGCACTGTGAAGATCGCTAGTTGGGATGGATGGCAGGCTGGAGTACGGGCAGGCACGGCCTTCTCTCCCCCACTCATCTTTGCAATAAAGATGAGCACGGTGTTGCATCTGATAAAAACACCAGCCCCACAGCCAAAGGGAATGGCTGACTTTGAATCCACCTGGGCAATCCCACAGGCGTTCACCAGGCATCACCCACCGCGTACTGCTGGAGATGCCCCCCCCCCCCCCGTCCGGAGAAGCCTCGCGCCTTCTCCACACTGCTCACCCCGGGGCAGCGGGCACAGCGGACCCCTCCGCGCTCACGCTCAGCAGCAGACAGGAGGATGGCACCTGGCAAGCTGCGCTGGGACTTCCTGCGCACCTGTGCAGTCGCTGTATTTAACAAACCTGTCGCAGGGCCTACGCTTAGTGCTTAAGCAGCATTACCTCTCTAACCCTTGGAGCTGGCCTGCGAGGTGACCGTGATCGTCATTCCCACTCTGCTCACGTGACACTCGCGCTCAGGAGGGCCCGGGCAGGTGGGCCTGTGACGAGCTCGGGCGTGTTATGCTGGCCTTGGGAGCCCTCGGGACAGCTCAGTGCCCGGTCACCCGAGTGTGCATCGGGTGACCCACGCAGCCGGCCACGTGGTGAGCCCCGCCACTCGAGGAGTCCGTGGCCAGACTGCACTGTACGCAGTTTCAAAATGATTGATTTCACTGGAGTTGTGTGGGCTGGATCCCCCTGTCTGGATGACAAAACGTGTAATCCTCCTTTCAGATAACCGCTTACTCCCGCTCCAGAATCCTAGGGTTTAGAACAGCAACGGCTATTTTTAGGTGCACCTGATTTAACAGCACCCCTCAGCCCCTCATTTTCAAGGGATTTAAAACGGTATCTGTGGGGCCTGTGGCGCGCAGGGCTGCTTGACGCCCTGGGGCCTCTGCCGAGCAGAGTTCACCCCAGGTTCCTAGTGGAAACTGTGAGGCTTTGCTAGGATTCCTGGAGCCCCGGGAAGGCTTGCTAACTGCTGGAGAGTTTGTCTCTGCAATGGGCTGCTTCTCTGAATCTCCTGGGAAGAATAAAGCCAGTGCCTCCTGATGTGCGATTGTGCTGGGCAGCCCGTCAAGGAAAACCCCCAGTTATTTCCTTATAAAAATAAAAATCAGCTGGACATGGTGCACGGCTGTAATCCTCGCACTCTGGAAGGCTGAGTCAGGAGGATTGCAAGCTCGAGCCCAACCTGGGCAACTTGGTGAGACCTTGTCTCAAAATAAAAAAATTAAGAAGTGCTGGGGGTATAGCTCAGTTTGAAGGCCCTGGGTTCAATCCTGTCTCACAGCACCAACCCCTAAATTAACAGAGCAAGTGCACAGCTTTATTAAAAGACCAGCAATAGCTGAGAAGTGAAAGCGTCCAACCTTGAGAAAAAGCGAAAAAGGCCTGGGAACCTTGCGGAGTAACCCTGAGCCTGAAGAGGAAGAGTCCGTTCTGGGGTGCCCTGCAGTGTCCTGTCCCCCTCGCTGGCCTCCAAGCACCCGCTTGCCCTCTGCTCGAGTGATCAGCTTGACTTCCTGCGCTGGGCCCGGTCACTGTGAATGGCGCAGGGCCGGACAGGGCACATCCTCCGGGGCCTGAGGGCGACCGGGCGCCGGCCGGCTTCTGCGGGAGCCCCGGGGACGGGCGACCTGACTCTGCACAGGGGAGAGCAGGGCACCACCGCCACCCTGCGACGCTGGTCTGAGGCAACGCCACCCGGGACAGCGAGCGGCTGCGGCGCTGGCTGCGTGGCTCCGTCCCGCCAGCCGCTCGCTTGGCAGGGGCACCGAGAAGCAGGAAAACCGTTCTCCCCGCTTCTGCCCCACGCTGGGGTCTCCAGGGCTGCCAGCCGCTGGGCACGCGCGGCTTGGCTGCCCTCCCTCCCCGCCCCCACCTTGCCGCGCGGCTCTGTCTGGCTGAAAATCTCTCCTTGCGGTCAGATCTGCGCAGCGCTTGCCATTTGACCCCTTTTCAAGCGCACAGCTCGGTGGCGCTGGGGAAGCTCACACCACTGGGGACCCCAACCACCACCCTTCCAGGACCTTTCCTTCACCCGGAACTGGAACGCCATGCCCATGCCACACGGAGCCCCACTCCCCGGCCGACCACCACTGCACTTCCTGTCGGCGGCTGACCACCCTCATGTCACACAGTACCACGTGGACTCACAACACTCATTTTTGTGACTGGCTCACTTCACTGAGCATGGCGTCTTCTGGTTGAAATGTGCTGGCATTCCTTCCTTTTCAAGGCACAGTAATATTCCACTGTATGGGTCACATCCTATTTAACTAGGCACCTGTGGGTGGATGTTTGGGTTGTTCCCTTCTGGCCATTCTGAATGACGTGGCTATGAGCACTGGTGTGCAAATACCTGTCTGGGTCTCTGTTTCTTTTTCACTTGCATCCTGCAGTGGAACCGCTGCCTCACCTGGTGACTCTGTGAGCAGCTGCCACGCGGTTGCCATGGTGACTCACCTCAATACATTTCCCCCATGTGTGCACAGGGCTCCCATCTCCCCACACCAGATTTTTAAAAATATTCACTGAGAGGAGCAACTGGCTCCATCGGCTCATCCAGGGAAGGAGGAATCCAGTGGGGCTCGTGACGCCCCGAGGGCCGAGCTAGCTCCTCTCATGCCCCTGGCAGCAGGCACCTTGGTAAACCCAACGCCTAGCCAGGCCCAGCTACACCTGCAATCACAGCCCTCTGGGAGGCTGAAGCAGGAGGATCGCAGGTTCCAGTCTACCTGGGTAACTCAGTAACAGACATCGTCTCAGACGAGATCGGGCACGTTCAGGGTGGTATGGCCATAGACCAGACATTGTCTCAGAACTTAAAAAAGAGCTGGGAATGTAGCCGAGAGAGAAGGTCCTGGTTCAACCCGCAGTACTGCAAATAAAAACAAAACCACACTCGGACTGGTACTGCCACTGCCAGGCAGCAGCCTCTGTAAGGCGAGCGGCTGGCCTGGCTCCCCCGGCGCCGGCAGTGCTGGCAGTGGGACCTGGGGCCAGGGTCCCGCAGCCCGCCCCTCCCCGGTTTGGCTCTTGGGATGGGAACAAGGCTGCCCCTTTATCCCAGGGCCTCTCCGGGCCCAGGGAGACGGCAGCACAGCGCTGTCCGAGCGTCCCCGAGAGACGCGTGACCAGCTCCTCCCATCACCCCACCTTCCGTGCGGGCCCCCTCCGCAGCTGGGGTGGGGCTGACCCTCGCCCTCCCGCCCCAGAACGAGGCGGCGTGGGAAGCTGAGACAGACGCGCGCCGCCTCGCGAAGGCTTTATTTCCACTCCCTCGCGGTCCGAGGTGGACGCCGAGGCCGCTGGCCCGTCCCGGTTTGGCGCCCTCGTGACCAGCGCTCGTCCTCACACACAGGCCGAGGGGCGCCGCGCATCGCCGATACTCTTAACAGTAATTTAAAAGGTCGCTGTTGTCGCCCTGTCGCGAGGGACCACAGGAAGAGAGCCGCACAAGGACTTCAGGACGGCACGGGGGGCCAGACGCACGCAGGAGCGGCGGAGGGGCGGCGGGGCTCATGCAGCCGGGCACGGGCCGGCGCGGGGGTCTGCACCGCGGGGTGGGGGCGTGAGCTGAACTGAAGGAGGCCTCTTCCCCTCCCCAACCGGGGCCCGCTCCCCCACCACGGGAGGCTCTGGCTTCACGCCTTCACCACAGAAAGGTCGGTGCGGCAGACAGTCCGAAGCATTTTTAAAAAATTCCTAAAAAAAATCAACGCGGACAAAACAAAGGTAACTTAAAAACACTGTACATCCAAGGTGGAGAGCCCCACCCAAGGGAGCAGTGCAAACGGTTTAACAGAGGCGCCTGCGGGTCGGGAGTGGGGGGCAGAACCCCTTCGAAGGTACACTTTTACATTTAAAACTTTTACACTTTAAGTCTATTTATAACCTTATTTACCTTTTTGTTTTAATACACTGTGTGTAAAAAAGATGGAGACAAAAATAGTTTTCTGGGCTATGAAAAGTAAGTTATTACAGGCACAGGTACTGTTCCGTTCTGGAAACATCTCGGGGTCACAGGTCGGACATTCGGCAGCTGTCTTGTGCAAACGTCCTCTCCTCCGGCGGTGTGGGCACGTGGCGGTGGCGGGGCGCGAGCTCCGGGTGGTCCATGCAGGCTGGCGTCACAGGGGTGGCTTCTCCTCCTGCCCGTCCTCGTCACCGTGCTCCTCCAGGGACGCGGGGGCCCCGGGTGACTGCGAGCCCGAGGCGGTGGGGGTGGGAGGAGCCCACCGGGACGGAGGGCGGCGGTTGGCTGGTCTCTCGGGCCTGGAGAAGCAGGGCTCTAGGGACGGGGCGAGCGCGCAACACGGCAGTTCCTGGGGCCGAGAGGGAGAGAGCAGTTAGACCAGCTGTCTGCGGGGAGCACGCCCGGCAGACCCTGCAGGCGCTGGGGTGCGAGGGAGGGACCACGGGCCACACGGAACACGAACCAGCGTCATGCTCACGGAGAACAATGTAAAATGAGCAGGCAAGCGCGCAGCATGAGTGATCGGTGCACGTGGGAGACAGCAAGCTATGCTGGAAGAGGTGAGCCGCGGGCCCGGCCTCCTCCCCCGCGGCCGCTCACCCCGTCCCCACCCGCAGCCCTGTCACTGGCCCTGCTGCCTACGGAGAGCTGCTGTCCTCCAGGGCCTCGGTCCACCAAGGACCAGGCTAGCACAAGCGCCCCCGAAACCGACTCTGCCCCTGTGACTCTGTCCCCGCTGGCTGGCAGCGGCTGAGCAGACCCCGCAGACGGGCAGGCGCTGCGGTGAGATTTCAGTTGAGGTCTCGCTGTCCGTAGTGGCTCCTCGGTGCAGCACACGTTTATGAGCTGCGGCCGGAGCCACTGTCACTTGTGTCCCCGGACCCTGACTTTCTGAGGGCCGACAGATCACGCCAGGCACCCTCTGCCCTGGTGAGAGCCACCCAGGACCCCCTTTCTCAAAGTCTGTTCTGTTTTGGAGAACATTTAGCTACCTGTCCTCTGCCCCGTGCTGGGTGACAAGGAGGTGCAGGCTCAGGAGCTGGTGACACAGAAATGTAGAAAGCAGTGGCCCGGGGGACCCGAGGGAGGGTCACCCCAAAGCTGATGTGGGGACGCAGCAATGGGAGGGCTGGGCGGGGTGCAGGGCAAGGACCCCAGAAACGTCAGGAAACGGGAAGTGGAAAGTGGCCTAGAGGACCAGAGGGAAGGCGAGGGTTCCGCGGGATGGTGATGCCACAGGGAGATGGAGGTGGCCGTGGGGATGGTGTGGGCCCGGCCTCTCGGGGACACTGGCCGTATCTCAGGGCCCTGCCCTTTTCTGCGGGCTGCCTGGTGTCCAGGAGGGGCCTCGGGGGCGGCCCCCAGGCTGAGGGAACAGTGACTCCCAGGATGCGTCTCTCCTCAGCGTCAGCGCCACTGAGTCACAGCGCAGCGAGGGCCGTGTCCCGCCTCAGCGGCTCGGCCCACAGCGCGGGATGGCGTGGGGCGTGGGTTACCGCGGTGTCTCTGCTCCGTTACTAAGCGAGTGGGTGTGTCACACGGCGTGCACACGCGTGGTGCTGTGCTGCCTGCCGCTGCGGGACATGCCGCCTCCTCCTCGCCAGCGCCTGTCCACGTGACCTCGGGTCACGGCCGCACATGCAGCAGGCGAGGCTGTCCTGCCCGGGGCCACACGGTGCAGGGCCACTGTTCTGGACCCGACCGGCTGTCCCCACGCGGTCACCCTTCCCTGGGGAGGCGTCCGGCTGCACTTGGTGCTGAGGTTGGGGTGGTGGAGGGGCGGGGTGGCGCACCCTCACTCGAAGCCCTCCTTACCCTGCCTCAGGGCTTCCCTGTCCATCGGCTGCACGGGCCGCCCCGAGAGAAAAGCCCGGAATCTCTGCAGCAGGGATGGGGCTGTTGTTCATCACCCGACAAGCATGCCGAGTACTGTCACCTCGGCCTCACCGGGAAAGGGGAGGAACTCCTGGAGCTATTACTTCTGCGGTGACTGAACAAGGAGGAGACCCCCCACGTCACAGGCATCTCATTCCAACGAGCGCCAGTGCACGTCTGTGACCGGGATGGGGCGAGCCAGTGAGCAGCCAGGGCTCGGGGCCGACAGGCTGGATGGACCCCCGGCTGCTGGCTGCGCAAGGCCGGAAATTCCAGCTGCCTCTCCGTCACCTAAGGGCCCTCACTGAATGTCGCCTTGAGTGGCACAGGCGGGCTGCTGGCTGGGCATGAGCGTGGAGTGGACCCCCAGAGGTGATGATGGTGTCAGACACACAGGACTGTCCGGACGCCGGGGCCGGGCACAGGCACTTACAGCGTGAGGCGGGCAGGGCTAGAGTCCCCACGGGGCAGTTAGTAAGACAGGTGGGCTCTGGACGGACAGACAGAAAAGAGAAAAGCAAGCAGTTGGAAGGCACGTCTCAACAGCAGAACAGTCAAAGTTTCAAGCGAGGGACAGAGGGTGTGGGCTCCTCCAGGATGGCCACCAGCAGGGGGCTGTCCTTTGCCATCTGCCACCGACAGAAGAAGGCTCCATCCCGGCACAGAGTGACCGCCAGCGGGACCTGGGCTGGCACGTGGCCGAGTGTTCTCTGGTCACTATCATGGAACCGCTGCTGCTCCAGCCGAGAGCCCCTCAGAGCGAGGAAGGCAGCGCCGCACTCACGCGTGCCCTTCGCCTCCCACCACACGGCTCCTCACGCTGCTCTGCGCTGTGACCCACATCACCCGTGTCCAGACCTCCGGGTGGACGGTCAGGGGGATCCGTGGCAGGAGCAGGAGCGAGCTAGGAGCCAGGAGGGGCTCTAGAGAGGCAGGGATGGAGACCCAGGGCCGCTGCGTGCACGTTTGTGGGCAGACTGAGGGGGCGCCCTTTGGCACAGACGGCCTCTGCCAGCTCAGTTCAAGCAGAAAGGCCCCACTGTGCTATGGAGCAGCCGGACTCCGATGGAGGAGTGGGCTGTGAGGCTCCCCACGGGCCCGGGCGCTGTAAGTGTCCCCTGCTCACAGAGGCCGAGGCCAGGGCAGCTTCGGGGGCCTCTCTTCACCCACTAAGCCCCTTCCTTCCTGCTGCAGCAGGCTGCTGGCAGCACCCAGGAACGCTGAGCCTCTCCTGGTTCCCAGACACGAACTGCAGCTGAGCCTCTGCTACAGCAGACACGCGCACCCAGCCAGGGCGGACGGGGGAGCTGATTTCCCCGCCTCCCCAGGGCCGGGAACGGCAGGGCGACCACAGGTAGGGGAGCCTCCCAAGCCACAGCACTTACCTGTGGGCTCCTGAGGGCTGGCGGACAGAGGACCAAAGCGCACACCACGTGTCACCTGGGAACTTGCCCGCCAGTCCTTGGAGAGCATCAACATCACACCCAAGACCCGGGTCTCTGCAGCAGCAGGGGATGCTTGTGCCTGGCCTGTGTCAGCCTCAAACTCTACATTCTGGGGCCCACCTTCCTAGGGAGGATGGAGAAGCCAGCCCCTTTTGTCCCATGGGAAACACGGCTGTGGTGGGACACACCCCTTCCTCCTCTCCTCACCTACAGGGTCAGGCTCACGGGCCTTGTCACACGTGTGACCCGAAAGACCTGTCCCTGCAGAGCGTGTGAATCGTGACACGCTGCCACAGCCCGGGGCTTGATCATGCTTATTATTTGCCCCCTTTCACTCACTCTTGGAGGTGGGAAGGAATGGAACTGGGGACCGGTTTTTGCAGCGACGCAGTCCCCACCGGCCACGTGGGGCCAGGTGTCGGCACAGAGTAGGGTTTCGATTTCATCCATTTGCAGCTTTCGTGCAGGGGGCAGCGGCAGGGACTGCCGGCCACCGTGATGGCGACTTGTAAGTGGCTGGACAGGGAGCCCAACTTCCCGACGAGAGAGGCACCGTGTCCCGGGGGCCAAATGCTGTCCAGCACCGCAGCGCCCCATGGAGACCTGTGGCTGGCAGCAGCCCAGTGCAAGCTCCCCGTGCTCTGAGACACACCAGGTCACAGAGACCGCAGCCTGCGACCCAGTGCAAAGTGCCGATGGGACGGTCACTCAGACCTGCAGGCAGCACCTCATGCAGCCACGTCCTTCGGAAGTCACTCGGGGTCAGGGCTGCCACTTACTCCATTCTCCACGAATACCTCCTGCCCCGCTCCTGGCACAGAGCCCTGCGGACAGTGGTCCCCGAGACCCACACCTGGGCCCCCCAGGGTCCCGCAGCCCAGCAGCTCAGTGCAGGAACGGGCTGGGATGGGCGCCGCACTCTCTGCATGCCTTACCTCCATGGCCCCCAGCTCGGCTGAGGCCGTTTCCACCGTGAGGCTGTCGCTGGTGAGACTCGGGGGCCCGGGGACGGCCTGCCTCCTGTCCTCCTTTAAGGCATGCTCCAGCAGCTTCCTGTTAAGGATCCGGGCCACACTCTCGGCCAGCGTGTAGCCAGGGGGTGCAGACAGGTCCTGCCTCACGGGCGTACCCTCTCCCCCGTCCTCTCTGCCTGTGCCCAGGGGGCTGGGCGACCTTCCCCGGGAGCCGGGGCCTGCTTCCTGGCCAGGGCCCAGCTCGGGGTGGGGCTCTGCGGAGTGGGAGCGGCTCCCGGCCCGCGTGCCCTTCTGGAAGGGGTCCTGCATGGCCGGGCCGTGGTCGATGATGCTGAAGAGGCTGGAGAGGCCGTCGGTGATGGTGGTGTGCACGGGGCTCTCGCGCGTGGTGGTGGAGCGGGCCCAGGCCGACTCACTGCACCCCTTCTGGCCGCCCCCCACCACGGCCCTGCTGGCTGGCGGGTCAGCTTTGGGGAGGGGCTTCCTCTGCAGCTTGGGGGACCCGTATTTGGGGGAGCAGCAGGTGCGTTCGAACTTGGCCTGCACCTTCTCAATGGCGGGGGCCACCTGCCTGCTCCTAAGGCTCCGGGATGGGGACGACACCGGTGTGGTGCCGCCGCCCGCCTTTGGCGTGAGACACCTGTGGGGGCTGCTGGCGACGCCGGCCCCGGCGCGCAGGGCCTCGGTCTGCAGCCCCACGCTGATGGTCTGCACAGTCTGTGTCCCCGCTGCGCGGGACTCCTTCGTCTGGCAGGCCATGTCCTTGACGCGAGGCTGGGTGGGGCTGGGGCACAGCGCGCTCCTGACGGACAGGGCCGCTGCCTTGGTGTCGTCACTCATGTTCTTGGACATGTCTGGGCTGTGCGGCAGGGCGGCAGCTAGTGGGGTGCAGAGGGAGAGGTCGAGGGGGCACAGGGTCCCCTCCGCACAGTCTCGGGGGTGCCGGGTGGGGGTGCAGGGCCATCGGCCCAGGGCAGGGGTTTCCGTGGTCTCTCGCAGGCTCCCTCTGGCTCTGCTTGTGGGCAGGGGGCCCTCCGGGTCCGGCCGGCCCCTGCCCTCGCCGCCTGCCGCCGGCCTGCCGCTGTCCACCCTGCGGACGGGGGGTGGGCCATGCAGCACCCGCACCCCCGTCGGCTCGGCGAGGACGTGGCTGTGCAGCCCCTGCTTCTGGCAGTGCTCGGGGCTGGTCATGGTGTCCGTGGTCATGGTGACGCTCGTGGTCAGGTACCAGGCGGAGGAGGGGAAAGGTTCTGCCGGGGCCTCCTGCCCTGCCTGCCCACCCTCGGTCCTGTCCGCCCAGGGGTCTGGGGGCCACTCAGGGCCAGCCCTGGGGGGCACTGCGCTGTCCCAGCTCTTGCTGTTGAACTCCTCGATGTACTTGAGGTCATCAGGGGACAGGGGTGGGGTGACATCGTCCTTGCTGCTGGTGGGCGGCAGGCCCTTCTCCGGCAGGAACGGGGAGACGTCCATCAGGCGCTGGAACTCCGACATGGAGGACACGGACACCACCCTGCGGGGGAGCAGAGGCCGTGAGCACGCAATGGACGCCCCCTCCACCTCCAACATCGAGACCCCAGCAGCTGCCCAAGGGCTCTGGACCTGTCCCCGGCCCCAGACTGGGCGGACGCTAATTCACCGTGGGGACGGGAGGGCTGGGGCTACACCCCAACGCCGCCCCTGACCTCAGTGCCAAGCACCACGGCAGGCGCTCGGCACCCTGCGAGGCAGACGCCAGCCAGCTGCCGCGTGAGGGCAGAGACAGCTGCAGCCCGCCCGCCCGGGGCGGTGCTCACCGAAAGGCCCGCTTCGGAGACACCGGGGAAAGGAGGGAAGTGGGACTCAGGGTCAGTCGGGCAGTCTCCAGATGCTCACGCCCGCCTCCCTTCTCACCCCGCCCGTCTCTCACACGGGTCCCAGCAGGTGTGGAGCTCTGCACTCAGCTCTGAGGACAACCTTCTAGAATGGCTATTTCTTGCTGGTTTTGAAGGTCTAGGTTCCTTCTTCGCTGTTTTATTGGCATGCTTGCAACGCACGGTTTTTACACGAGTTCTGGGGACCTAGCACGCGTGTATTTGTAACGTATCTTGATCCTCCGCAGCCCCATCCCCCACCTGCGAAGATCCGAGTATCACTTCCGAAAGAATTCTGCGTGGGCCCAGCCCACCAGCAGGGCTGCGCTCCACCCCCTGCTCCTCAATACGGCCCACTCGTGTTTGTCTGTGCTCCTCCTGCACGTCCTGCCTAGGTAAGAGAAACTCAGCACTGCCTTGGAGACGCGAACTGCCGAAGGATAAAGACGGCTGAAGCTAAGCAAGAACTGGGTCTGGCGAGCTGTGCCGGACAGACGTGGACTGCGGCGTGGACTCCGGACACACCGGCACCGCAAGCGCACACATTCCCCTTCGACGTGGACTCACCGAGTGCCTCCCACCCGTCTGCCCGGGCAGCCACCAAGGGCTGCTGGCCATGTGGGACACCCACCCCCCCGTGGGGGCCGAGGAGGGCGGTTGGGAAGGAGACTGGGGTTGGGACCGTAGCTAGACCAGCCCCTGTGGGACACATGCTCCCTGCGCCTCCCGAGGGCTCACAGCGGGTTCCAGACCACGCCAGCCCTCCTGGAGGCTCCAGATGGACAGCACAGAACCGCCTCCGCAGGGCCCGCGAGGGCAGTGAGACCAGAGCCAGGCTTCTGCCCGAGCACAGCTGAAGGCCAGGGTGCCGCTAAACACAGGGAAGAGGGGCGGCAGGGAAGGAAGGAGAGCATCGGCCCAGCAGTTTAGAAGCAGCAGAGGAGACGCAGCGGAGGCGGCCGGGCGCCGTCCCCTGCGGAGCGCCTGGGTGCCGCTGCTTGTCTACCTCGAGCATGGCTGACTTTGGGAACTGAAGGGCTGAAGCAGCAAGAGTCTAAGCAGCAGCAGTGCCGCAGGGGGGAAACAGCAGGTCGGGACTTGGTGAGGAGCTGGCCTGTGCCACACCAAGCTGCAGGCCAACCTGTCTCCCGCTCGCAGATGAGGAAATGGAGGCACAGAGCCACGAGGCCCTCATCCAAGGCCCAGGGCTCCTGAGACGCCACAGCTGACCGTGCAGCCGGGCTTGCCCTGCCCGAGGACGACACGATGACACGGGCCCTCTGGGGCGGGGAACCACCCCCCACAGGTGAGAACGGAGAGGCCAAGGCCCAGGACATTCCAACACCACGCCCTCAGCAAGAAGGAACATGGAAAGCCAGGGAGCGAGGAGGAGCGGGCAGCGGGCAGCGGGCATGGAGCTCACACCGACCCCAGCACCCTGTGTGCTTCCCTCAGGGCTCACTGCCGGGAAGAATTCGGCTAAGTCCTCCTGGTGGAACTTTTAAACACAGTGTACCCCACGCCTCCCACACCAAGGGGGGCTTTTTCCAGACTTTCCACCGGAGCTGTCCATGGACTTTGCAAACACCACTGAAGACAGCATCCCACTGTTCGCTCAACGCAACCGTCCTGGCAGCCTCCACAGAACTGTCAGGAACACGGGCTCTGGCCCTCCGCCTGCTGATCCTCCGACAGCACGCATTCACAGAACCGACAGTGACAAGGGCACCACGTAACGTGAGGTCACAGACTGCAGCCACTAGGGAGCGTTAAGACCGAGAGGACTCAGGGTCTCTGAGTCTGGTCAGTCTCTTACCTTTGAAGGCTCCTCTTGTGATTTTCTTCTTCCTGTAAAAGAGAAATAAGTTTGACTGAAACTGGGTAACTCTGGTTGCCCAGGAGCCTTGCTTCAGCTCTGCTCCTGCGAAGACACCATTTAAAATGTGCACTGAGGCCTGGCGGGGTCAGGAGCGAGAGCATCACTGCCCATGTCCTTCGAAGGACAACGGCAAAAGTCCACCGTGTGATGAGGGGGCCAGCAGGAGAGAGAAGCTGGCCATCAACTTGTCGAGGAGGAGGGAAGGGCCTCCCTGCCTCCCGCCTCAGGAGTTCAAAGCTGGCTGTCTCCCTCCTTCCCTCCATAACCAGGGTGTGTGTGTGTGTGTGAGGGAGGGGCGGGAAGGTGAGGCAGAGGGAGGTGGGGAAGTGGGCACTGGGAGACTGACGTCCCTCGGTCCTGATCTTGCTCCAGCAGTTGGTGAGACACCCGCTGGTGTGTTATAAACCTGAGGGTTAGAGGTGCAGTTGAGCGGCGGCCCCTTAGGAAGAGGAGCGGGAGCTGAGGGAGCAGAGGGTAGGGCCACAGGGTCACTTGCGAGAAGGTGCCCAGGGGCTGCCCAACTGGGCAGAAGCTTGTGGTGGTCATGGGATGCGCTCCTGGGGACAGTAAATGCCGGCAGAGTGTGCACTCCTGCCTCAGTGTGACACCTGGAGCCGGACACTCGTCCATGAGCCCCGTGTCCCTCTGCTCTGAAACCGGACCCCACGAGATGGTACGAATGCTCCCAAATCTGAGCTTTCGAGAGCTGACACCCTGAAACCCAGCTTCATGGCCATGATATGAAGCACACTGTATGAATTACTTTTGGGCTGTGTTGGGGAGGGACAGATCTGATTACGTATATTCAAATACACCCCAACCTGTAGAGCTCCGACTCCAGAACCGCTCTGGGTCCCAGCATTTCGAATAAGGACGCCCCACCTGTACAATTTCCCCGGACTGAAACAGCACTGCGTGACATGAACTCTTCTAAGATTGTGTGTTCGGGACACACAGTGACAGGCACGGTGACCGCTAAGCTCACTGACTAGCAGTGATTCCTCGCAGCACTTTTTAAAATGAGGTCTTTAAAAACATAACCAGAAAAATGTGCCTAACACCATGCCACAAACATTTGGGTATAGAGCTTAATTCATCAGTGGGGAACCTAATTTACATGGGGTTTCAGTACTGGATTTTCTCCACCTCTGCCCAGAGTAAGGCATTTGCAGTACGCCAGTGCTTGGTGATACTTGCTACTTCCAAACGTGAGGCAGTTTCCTGAACACAGACCTTCTTCAGCTATTACTCTTCCTGACTCCCAGCAGAGAGGACCCTGCGCATGTCTGAGTCACCGGCTGCCTCCCGTGGGTTGCACTGGACAGCTCCTTTCTGAGCCGTTCCTTTGGCGGAGGACACTAACATGGCGTTTCTCAACCCAAACACGGTGGCAATGTCGCACTGACCACGGATCACCCAGGAGCTGAGCGTCGGGGCCAGCAAGCCACCCCCAGCCCTGGTGAGACTCCACCTTTAGTGAATTCCCAGGTTGGCACTGGAGGCCACCAGGTTTGGGTCACATGACAGCCCCTCATGGTGTAGCGGCTGACTGCAGCGGTTAACTAGCACGGCTGACTAGAGTGCACAGCACCAGGCTGACCTCGGCGAGGCGGTTCCTGAACGTCCTCTCGGGCCTGCGAGGCGGAGGCAGCTCCTCCTGCTCGTCGTCCAGGGACAAGGCATCCAGGTACAGGTTCTCGCTGGCCGAGCACCGGTCTGACTCCTTCAGCTTGGACAGCGGCTGGTCCTCAAAGGGCAGGGAGTCAGTGTCTGTGCAGGGCCACATGGACGCGGGCCGGGGCACACGAGGCCCTCCCGGGTGCGAAGAGGGGCACGGGTGGCCTTCTTTCTGATCACAGAGGAAACTGCCGCCTCTCCGGGGACTGTTCTCTTTCTGCAACTTGAAAATTTTAGAAATGGAAATCATTAGCCTCCCATTTTGGTCTCATGGTTTTCTTAAGACCAATGTATCTCCAGCATGCAGCATGACATGTGAGTCAACCAGAAAGATTCAGCAAAAACCACCTGTTCTTAAAGTTCAAACTTAACTTCAGAATATAACATGTTGCAAATGCTTTTAAAATAATCACAATTTTGTAGCACAAGCCTGTAATTCTAGCACTTGGGAGGCTGAGGCAGGAGGACTGCTACAAGTTTGCAGCCAGCCTGAGCTACACAGTGAATTCAAGCTCAACCTGAACTATATTGTGAGACCTGTTCCAAAAAAAACCAAAATAGCAACAACAACAAAAAGATGACAATTTTATTTGGAATAGAAAAACGCATTTAGACAAACCGCAGTTCATCTGACCAATGTGTGTGTGTGTGTATGTGTGTATTATATTGTTTTTCTTCATTTGTGTTGTAAAGTATGTTTATGTATAGCTTGGAGTACTATGCTCGTGGGAAATTATATACTTATTTTTAAAAACTCAAAGAGTGTTCAGACTCTTTGGGAATCGCCCTCAGAGCTCTGGGCATGCTACTGGGACACCATTTGTCTGGTACTGTTCCACGGTGAACCTGGTTTTCCTGACAGCCCAATCATCTGCAACAGGTCCCATGCTCGCCCCCAAAGCACACTGAGTTGTAACCATTGTAAACACAACTTGCACTTTGCTTGAGAGGATGAAAACTTAGCTGTCAAGGAACCGAAGGGCGTCATGGGAGGCAGAGGGGGAGAAGCCACATACTCTCCCGCCCTACTTTTTGGTAACCTGGAGTGGCAGCAGTGAGCAAACTGGGATTGGAGCCCCGGATCTGCAGCCTGTGGGCAGCGGTGGTTCCCAGCTGAGCGGCTCTGAGCACGGCCAGGGGCCCACAACGGTGCCCTCCTTGCTTCTCTTGTCATGGTGAGCGCTCCGGAAGGACCCCGAGTTCCCTCTGGAGGACTCCCCAGTCCTCCTTGCTGAACACCTCAGACAGCAGCTTGAGCCTCTGCTCGCCGGTGGGGTCTTTACTGGGGCACGAGCCCACACGCCCTCCTGGAGCACACTCTTCTGCGTCAAGTCTGCGAGCCACCCAACGATGAGAGCGACATTTGGGGCTGACCTGAGCCGTAGCCAGGTGAACATTTTCAGTCCCTGAGAGCTGGGAGGGTACCAAGAAATTCTACAATGCCTTGGACGCAGATGGGTGGGTACACCCAGCATTTCGGTGCCCGAATGTGAGCCTTGGGCCCCAAGCCCATGTGAGCTTGGCCTGCGACCCGCCAGGAAGAAAGCCAGAGCACACGCCAGGGACAGGGGACTGTCACCTGCTCATTCCTTTCAGTCACCTGGGGGCAGTGCCGTGAAAGTTTCCAGGAATCGTATCTACTCTACGAGCTTAGACGCTGGAGTCTGAGGCAGGTTCACGGTCACATCAGGAACAAGCGGGTCTCCCTGGGCTCCAGCTCAGCCCCTCCATCTGCAGTTCGCTTACAGATGCTAAAGGCTTTCTGTAAGAAAAACTGAAGGCAACGCTTTTCATTGTGCACACCCAATGCGTGCCAGCGCAATTTAGTTTCGACACATGATCGTCCCCAAGCTATTCTGGGCAGGGAATTAAAATGCGAGACCCACAGTGGAGGCTGTAAATGTGCAGGGAGGAGAAAGATGACTACAGGGGAGAGCTATGAACAAGCGCGTCCTAACTCAGGAAAGTGGAATTTCAAAAATAAACGCAGGCGGCCAGGAGCTGCCTGCACTAAGCTGCTAAGTGTTAGGTTTCCTAAAAGTGAACTGGAGCAGTTGGGCTGGAGCACGCTGCTGCTCAGATGCCTCTGCAGTGCGGTAATAGAGCAACGGGTCCTGCAAAGATAGGGTTTCCCGGGCGGCCTCTGAGCCAGCAGCAGCGCCTACTGTACTCGCAGCTTGCGGCAGAACTTCTCACGCAAGTGGAAAATTGGTCAGATTTGCATTTCAAGTAACGCAGGACACAATAGTTCCTCAAGTGTCCCCTTACCCAGACGGGTCAAGGGGAAAAGGGTGGCTTTGTCAACAGGCTTTAAAAGGGCCTTTCATGTTGTAAAAGCAGCTGATTTAAGAAAGTTACTGGAAGGAGAACAGGTGACGTACGAGCTTCCCACTTAGCCATGTAAGTACAGCGACAGGTGACCTGCTGCGCTCATTAACCAGGAACTTCACGATTCGAAGAGGAATGTACCGTGACTCCATAAAACCTAACAACCCCTCGATCACGCAGATTGAGACAAGAGCCGTGGGTGAGACGGACGACGTGTGCATGTGACCTCACCGTACTCCCACGGCCGCTCATCACAGCACATGTCTCACGTGGTGCAGAAATTGTGCTGGGATTTAACGGCACCGGGCAGGTATGAAGCACGTGTTCGGGAAGTGGAAAACGGATTTAAGGTTCTTCGTGGCCATCTGCACTGGGCTATCAAGTCAAGGTTACGGGGCTTACTGAGCACTGCGAGTTTGTGGGTGCACTGTGAAGCATGTCCAGCTGGAGTTTTCGTTTACGTGAGGAATCTGCCGCTACAGGATCACCAAGCGAAGGAGCGACCCAGGGAGCGACAAGCAAGCCCCACGGGCTCCCCCATGTGTCCCTGCCCCACAGCCTGCAGCCAGCTTCCTGTTTCTCAGAGAAAGCCCGTAACCGTCTCACCCAGTTTCAGGGCTGGTCCCTATCATTTACAAAATCTTGAAAAATGTTGAGACTTCTGGGGGAAAGGCTGGGCTTAATTCTGAAAACTGCATGTCTGAAGCATCTGTTCACTGTTGATAAATTCTCTCCTGAAGCCAGCAGTGGGGTCACTGTAGAAATATCCAGCAGTCCACCACACGTGTGTGAAGAGCGGGAGGAAACAGGGGCCTCAGGCCCACGAGGCCCAGGCTGCCGACCTGCAGGACTCAAGCTCTGTCTGCGACTGTCCCTTCGGTACAGTCCTGACCATTCCCCTCTTCCCAAAGTTCAGTCCCAGAATAGGGCGACCGCTCATCCCCAGGTCAGACTCAGAAGCTGATGTCCCGATGTGTCTCACCCATCTGTCCTCATTCCCAGAAGCGGAAGGAAAGCCGTGAGACCTGCTTAACTTGCATCGAGGTGACTTTTAGAATGGACGAAACCTATGCACAACCAACAAGCCTCTGTGGCTTGTAGGCAGAGGGACCCTCACGGCCAGGATGGGGACACGGCAACCTTCCCGGGGTGGTGTACAGGAAGGGACCCAAGAGTCACGGCCAGGAAGGAAGGTCCCGGCCACCAGCCGCCTAGGTGACTGTGACGGTGGTCAACTGCGCACGGCTGTGAGTCACTGCGGACCAACCCATGCTGCTCATTCTCCAACTTCCACCCAACTGACCAGGCCACCAGAGAGGCCCACAGTCTGTACCCGGAGGCCACTGCTAGAGGGCCACTTTCCCACACTGAACCGGAAAGACGACTTTCCCCTGGCTAGGATTTGAGGAATTCTGAAATGAAGCCCTATCAGGTACTAGCAAGGGGAGTAACTGCAGGGGGACCACACCAGGGGGCCTTCTCCTGCTTCCTGAGGTGGCTCCCCGGCCCCAGGCGCCCGGTCTCTTTCTTCCTTCTCCTCCTCCCCGGTCTGCTGCACTGAAACTTCCCGCTGTCACAGAGCACGGCAGGAGCGCAGGGCACCAGCATCCCCCAGGGAGTTTATAACGCAGCATCGAGGTGGTTTTTCCTGATCTGTTCCTTACAGATGAATAATCTCCTGGAGGCCCAGTGACTTTGTGTGAAAGCCTGGAACAAACGCACAGTAAAAACGCAGCCGGGGGGAACCCATCAGTGTGTGTGTAAACCGCATTTGCGCATTGCTCAGGAAGGACGGCCCCTGCGCCAGCTGTTCTGAGTCTGCCGCAGTGCGCAGACTGAGGATCTGTGCAGAGGAGGACAGCGCCCCACGCCCGCTCCACGTCCCTCAGTGTGGGCTGGGCTGAGCACGACGAGCACCCAGCAGCCACCTGGCCCTCTGTGGGTCCTCCTGGTCACAGAGGTGTGGCGCCGGCTCCAGCTGACTTCCACCTCCCCTGGCCGGGCTTCCCTAACGGCCTTGATCCCATTGTCCTGGAGCAGTTGCTGTGACCCCACCTTCAGGGACCAATGCAGGTGTTCACCTGCTCTGTGGCAGGAAGTGCTGGATATGACCTGACATGACCTCGTCTTGAAGTTTCCCCTGCAAACTAAGAGTGATCCTCCTCCTTCCCACATGTCCACACACAAGCACGGAGCGATGGAAAGGTCTGTGCAGGGCCAGCACAGGCGCAGGTCTCTGAGCGAGGAATCCTAGGATCCATGGCATTTGTTTTCTTTGGGCGGTGCTGGAGATTGACCCCACAGCCTCTGCACTGAGCTACATCCCCTGCCATTTCTATTTTGAGATAGGGTCTCGCTAAGCTGCGCAGGCTGGGCTTAAACTCAAGATCCTACTGCTTCAGCCTCCCAGTGTGCTAGGATAACAGGCGTGCAGCACCACAAAGCCTTAGAAATTCTGTTACCTCTGCCTGCTCCCCCGAAGGCCCACGGGCAGCCCGTTCCTTCTCCCGAGGGCACACACGGCCGCTCTGGGTGGCTGTGGCCACGCTTACCTGCTCGACCCTCCACGCCAGCTCCTGCTGCTGCTGCTCCCACTCGCGCCGCTCGCGGTCCAGGCGCTCCAGCAGCTCCACCTTCTCCCGCCTCCAGCTCTTCTCGCTGTGCTGCATCTGCCAGCGCAGGTCCAGGACCAGGCCGTGGCTGTCCGCCAGCAGCTTCCGGTGCACCTCCCGCTCCCTGCTCAGTATGCTCCTGCTCTCGACGGGGGCGTCCGGCTCACCCAGGCTCCTCTCCGACTGCTTCTCCAGCTACCGAGAAGAAAGACTTAGGACCCCTCCCCAGCAAGCGTGGCACTGCAGCGTGAAGAGATCCGCACACGGCCCCCAGACACCTGGCTAGGCCACAGGAGAGACCAGTGTCATGTCTAAAGTCTGAATTAGGAACACTTGATACTTCGCAAGATAAAAATCCCATCAAAGAATGGGCATCTGAAATGAAGGGTCACTTTTCAAAAGACGACAAACAGATGGCCAATAAACACATGAAAAAAGCTCAACATCGCTGGCCACTCGTGAAATACAAATTAAAACAACAATGAGATTCCATCTGGCCCCAGGAGGAATCCTGATCATCAAGAAATCAAACAATAACAAGTGCTGGTGAAGCTGTAGTGGGGGTGGGGAAGGAGCCCTGCTACACTGTTGGTGCGAACAAAAACTACAGAAATCAGTGTGGAGATTCCTCAAAAAACTAAAACTAGAAATTCCATTTGACCCAGCTATGCCCTTGTCGGTATCTTCCCAAAAGAGTTAAAGATGTCATATTACAGTGATCCACGCACACCCATGTTTATAGCAGCACAATTAATAGTGGCTAAGTCTTGAAAGCAACCTGTATGTCTATTAAACAGATGCATGGATAAAGACAATGTATTTACACACCCTGGAATACTACTTTGCAGTACAGAGGGATAAACTTGAGTCATCTGTAGGAAAATGGACACACCCTGTGACCGTAATGCTCAGTGAAATGCATCAGACACGTAAACTCCAGGATTGCACGGGCTCTCTTATACGAGAAACCCAAAGTATAAATAAATTAAAGAGCAAAGCAAAAGACAGGTGACAGGAAACAGGAACACAGATCTTTGGCAAAAGGGAAGGGGACCAAGAGGTGGAGGGAGGGGAGGGGGAAGGGATGAACATGCTATGGTGCCCAGGCAATCATGACCTTGCGATCCTTGCCAGGCTTCTGCCCTGACCTCCATCCGCTCCCAGTCATGTGTTTAATAGACATACAGGTTTCAGCCTCCCCTGTGCTGGGATTTCAGGCATGCACCACCACAGCCAGCTGATCAGATACTTTTTAACTATTCTAAAACCAGTTGCTGGAAGTCTCAGGCCAGTGAGCACAACCCCAAAAGCTCCTCTCCCTGTATCAGAATGCTAGGATGTGCGTGGTTAAACTGGAAGTTCTCGCCTACAGGCGCTCAAGGGGGAAAGCAAGGCCAAGCCTCAGCTGTGAGGGGGTGAACTCCGCTGCCCCGGCCCTGCACAGAGCACTGAGCACCTTGGGAAGGAAGTAGCGGGAGGGCCCGGGGGCAGGGCTGGGGCCGGGCAGTGCTGGGGCGGGGACCGCTCAGGGAAGCCAGCGATGGGCCAGTGAAGGGCAGCAGCGGGACGCTTACTGGGCCGCTGGGGAAGGTGAGACCGCAAGGAGGAAAGGCACATCCAGGACAGTGGGGGCACGGGCGTCCACCGCCTCCCGGTTTACAGCAGCTGCCAGCAGCCTGTGTGGGCCGGAGCCCGCGCCCTCGGGCACCCCGCAGTGCCGTCTCCCTGGCTTCTGCCCTGGCCTCCATCCGCTCCCAGTCTTCCTCTCCCTTCCCCACCACGCTCGGCCCCCGCCTGCACATCTCTGTGTCAGCCGCTCCTGATGCCAACTGCTGCCAGCCTCCCAGGGACTCCGGTGCTTGACTTTAACACCTCCTCCCCTTCTCCACCCCGAGCTTGGCAAAGCACCTGACGTCCTGGGCGGCACCCGGGCCTGGGCCTCACTCCTCTGTTTCACTGTCCCCTTCCTCCACTAACTTCCTGAAGACGAGTACTTGGGGTCCCTCCTTGGACCTCGCCGTCCATGCGGCCCTGGAGATGCCTCGCGGTCCCTGAGTCCACGACACCCACACATTCTCAGGTGCAGCCATGCATTGCAGAGCCCCTCGGTGGCGGCTGCAGGCGTAACCACACTCTCGGAAGGCTGTCGCCGAGGGAGGACCCTGTGATGTGTGTGCGGCGATCCTGGTCAGTTTCTCAGTCCATGTCCCTGCTGTTTCTGACAGGTGGCTGTAAACGTCTTCCGCCAGCCTTCCGTCACAGGACCTGTTGTGACAGCTCAAACCCAGCTTCTTCTGTCACCCATCTTGGCTAAGGCAGTGGCACCCGGGCACGAGCTCCAAAGCCTGGGAGCCACGCTGGCTGCCGACCACTCTTGGCATCTGCTGCTTTCTCCCCGCTGCACCCTCCTCACCCACTCCTCTGCAGCCCGGGGCTCCTGTACTCTGCTGGCCGCCAGGGACGCCAGAGGCTCCTCCCCAGTGCACTGTCTGTGATTTCCGGGGGATGTGTCACCTGCAGCTGTGAGAGACTAAGTCGCACCGAGGGGCCGGGCTGCAGCGCAGAGGTCAAGGGCGAGGTTAGTGTGTACTGAGAAAGTGCATCTTTTCCTGTTCCCGTCAGGCAGCTCCCCGAGGGCTGTCCACAGCCCAGGCCTAGCCATTCGCTCACTTCTGACCGCTTCTACTCACCCCGACCTTGAAGCCAGAGTCATCACTTTAAAAAGCAAACCTAAGTCCTCCGTAAAGTCAGGCCTGCAGTATTAACTGCTTCAGCGCCCCGCCCCCGACCCGAGCTCCTCAGTGGGGCCACACGCCTCCTCTCACACGGCCCCTGGTGCCTGCTCTGCATGTGGCGATCACCACCTGCCTGTGACACCTTCTTCGGTCTCCCTGGGCCCCACTAAGCTGACACCCACAGGCTCCTTCCACACTGCTGCCACGACAGCCCTGTCCCCATCGCCTGCCTGCGAGAAAGGCCTTGCTGCTTGCTGGACTCTGAGCGCCCACAAGGTCTGATTTAGGTGCCAGTCAGAGGAATGACAGCTCAGGGAAATGGCACTGCATGACTCCACCCGAGAGAAAACATTACATTTTAGGAGAACTGAACTGGTTACACTGAAGTCGAAGAGGGTTGCGCTGGGACAGTGACAGATGGACTGGCCCGGGCCATGTTCACGGCTTCCCAGGCCGTCTGTAAGAAACCACTGTGCGACCTGGGCCAAGCCTCACCGCCTGGCCTCGGGGCTTGCAGTCCGAGCTCTGCCTCCTGGTGCGTGCGGACTCCCCTGAGCCCGCTCTGTAGCAAATGTGTGGGTGGAGGCCAGGGTCCCAACAAGGCTGAGGTGTTCGAAACTGGCTCTCACCAGAGTACGCCTCCCCTCTTCAGCATCTCGGGTCTCCGGAAATATTCAGCTCCCCCATCTCAGGCGCTCTGTACGCCCATCTTTAAACGGGGAGGCAGCTCAGCCGAGGGCAGCCTCACTCACTCTCCTGGTGCTGGCCCCACTTGCTGAGCCCTGAGACGGCATCTCAGTGAGGGTGCCTGGCAGGGAGCACGAGCCGCAGCCGGACTTGACCCCACCATCAGACGGGCTTGCCTGGAAGGGTGCCGCTGCTGGGCCCGGGGACGGTGCAGGACAGCGGGTGGGCCTGGGGCCAGCTGGCAGGGGTGGGGGATGTGCGGGCACTAGGAGCAACAGGCCCGTCTCCTCTTCTCTCCACGCTGTTTGAAAGACGTCTTTCTTTGCTATTTTCTTCTCTCAAGACCAAGGCATTCATACAAGCTTTACTGACTCTGGCAGAGCCCAGGAAAGCGGTGATCAAAGGCGCACAGACGGCCTCCCCGGGACCCAGGGGTGGGACGAGCCCCGAGCAGCAGATGCTGTGGAGGCTGCGGGTTACTCTTCAGGAATCCCAGGGAGAAACCTGGGAAAGGCTGGGGCACTGCTGGCGGGGGCCACACGCAGGAGGGTGCAGGACTCTCTTCCCTGCCCTGGTGCTAAGTGGCTCGAAATCTGAGACCAGCTCCTCCTCTGGCCCGTTTATCTCGGGTGGGAAGGAGGCTGAGAGCGAGGAAGGGTCCCAGGCAGGGACTGTGGGTCCTCCCAGAACTGGGAGGCATCTTCGGGCCGCATGCACCCACCGTCTTCAGAGAACCCCAGACACAGTCTGCTCGTCTTTCCCGACTACAATCACGTCAGCTCAGCACGGTGACGTCGTCACGCTGGCCCCCTCCAAACTTGCAGAGGGCAGATAGGCCAGTGACACCATGGTGCGTGCTGCTGGACAGGTGCACTAGGGACCTGGGAGAGTTGGGGGCCTTGGGGGCCTAGCAAGGCCGGCACTGTAAGGAGGGCCCTAGCTGCCACCCTCTTTCTCCTGGACAGGGGCCGTCTCCCCCCACCCCAATCTGAGCGGCAGCACAGCCTGGTCACCAGTACCTGCTCCAGGCGGCCCTTGAGCACGGCCCACTCCACATCCCAGGCCGCCTTGTCGCTGGCGTACTGCTGCTGTAGCCGCCGCCGGGCCAGCTCGTCCTCCCATAGCTCGGAGCGGAAGTCCTCCAGCAGGGCCTCAAGGGCGCTGAACAGCTGCTGGTTCTCCACCGCCTGTGGGGACAGTGGGTCAGGCTCGGGGTCCCTGTCGGAGCATCCTCCAGGTGGGAGAAGGGGCGACCCTGACAGTCGGGGTGGGGTCTGCTGCAGGGGATGGTAAAAGGACCCCTGCCACCCACAGGGGCTGGGGCTGGGGCTGGGGCGCTGCTGGACTGGGGGAGCTGGGCTGCCCTGGGCACTGGGCAGGAGTGCCCACAGGCAGAACTCAGGTCTGCGCCCTCGGGCTGCCGCAGAGGCACACATGCAGGAAGTGCCAATGGCCCGAGCAGGGCTGGCTGGCGCCCTGTGGGACGTCAAGTGTCTGGGTGTGGGGTGCCCTGAGAAAATGCACACACCCCCTCTGTGCACACCACTTGTGCCCGCAGCTGAAGGAGAAAGGATAGCGAAAGGCTGCACTCTCTTACACACGAGGTAGTTTCACCTGACCCACGGCCAGCAAGCAGGAGCTTGGCAGCACCTGGCCGGTGACCAACATATCCGGGGGGCAGCCGGACCTGACCTCCTGTCCTCAGGCCTCTGCACCGGCCTCCCTCCACCCCACACAGCTGCCTCCACCTGTGCCCTCGTTCCTGTCGCTGCTGCGGAGAGCGCCTCCCCGCCAGCGCTTGGACTCCAGCATCTGCACGATCCTCGGCTTGTGTTAAGCACACTGACACATCTGGTCACTGGTGGAGGGTTTTTTTTTAATGGCGGCTCCATTTATACCTCGCATAAAAGCCGTTTTATGTTTTCTGGGCTCTGCCTGGGCCTTCCACAGCAAGTCGTGAAACCTATGCTAGCGCGTGTCAGCACAGGTATTCCATCGCGGAGTTTGTGCGGGTGAATGAAGCCCGCGGCTGCATGACAGGGCTCCCTGGCGCATCTAACCCAGGAGCCCCAAGCACGCCCTTGGCCCAGCTCGGTTCTGAAGCCAACCGGTAACCCAGCAAGCACACGCCTAGCAGTCCAAGCATCCGTATGATTTTACATTTAAAAAAAGTTGAATTAGTAAAGGGAAACCCTTTCATATGAGCAGATGAATTAACTGAAACTCCAGAGTTGTCCCTGTAATTTAACTGAGTTACACCCTCAGATAGGTAGGCTTTTGGTGCAGAGAAAAGCCTAGTTATCAGCATTTATTGCCCTTTGGTTTTTCTCGCCTTGAACACCCATTTTTACTTAGGACAAATGGCATTCAGAGTGCAAATCAGTGACCATTTGAAAAATCAGCAGCTAGAGAACCTTCTCAAAGCCCTACGCGCTTTCCCACCACCTGAGTGTGAAGTAAGCGACAACCACCTTCGGGGGGACACGCTCCTCCCCAGGGGAAGCTGTGATAAATGCACAGCCGCTTTTCAAAGCTCTACACCAAGAGTTTCTAAAAATTATATGTGTAAAAAAAGCAAAAATAAAATTATATGACTGCAGCTGAGTGAGTATTGCAACAATCTTTTCAGAAACACATCTTTGCATAGACTCTGCTGAAAAATTATGTATTTACGATAGATTTATTTAGTATTTTCACTCCAATAAAAAACCACTATTTTTTCGAATCAAGAGAATTTTAAGCATAAAAGAACTGTAAGTTTGATCCAGTCGTTGGAGCAGTTACCTAATTTTCACTAAAGAAGAGGCAAAGAAGCGTGATACCTTCTCACCTGTAACCAGGACCTTTCTGGTAGCTCTTCCATCCCAGATCCACACGGTCCCTGCCAGGGCAGCTCTCCGCCTGATACCACACAATTGCTAGTCACACTGGGATTAGAACTTTACAGTCTAAAGGGCAGGCATGACGCTTCTGAACAGTTTTTATACCCACATATGAAAGAAATCCTTTCGCGATTGAAAATTTGGTTTCTCCGTAAGTGCAGCAAGTGCTTTTTGACTTTATTACACATCAGAGTCAATAAAATTAAAGCTTAATGTTTTCATGCATGTTTGGGTCAGCGGAATCAGTGCAACAGCCTGTGACCCCAGGGCAAGATTACTCATCACGGAAGGAGCTCCGGAACTGCTTGGGGGTGATGATGGCCAAAGAGATCGCGAGAGCACAGAGCACCGATGCTGCTGGTACTTGTTACCCTCGCGGGCAGGAACAGCAGGTGGTGTGGCGGAAAGCCAGTGCGGCTACGCCACAAATGCATGACAGCCAGAAAGGCCGTCCATGCGACATTTCCGGAGACCCTGATAGCCACGGGCAGGCACAGCTCTTCTAAACAATTTTTACACCTACATACAAAAAGCCCAGTCAACATAATCACTGATATCATTTCCTATGGGCCTCTACGACCCTGTGGTATTTATCACCCATTTGATGTCAAGGAAGTGAGGGCCTGCCCTGTGCCCTAGGTCTGTTTCCTCGGAAGCCAGACAAACCAGGCAGGGAACATTCCAATTCTGGCAGGATGTTGCGCCAAGGCCCTGCTCTCCCTTTCCCACTCCACTCCTCTCCCTGGGACCCTCTCCTTCTGTTCGCTTGGCCAGGGCTTCCAGCAAGCTGGACGAGGACTCTGCCACTGAGCTGCATGCCACCCAGAGTTTTCTTGCAACTGCCTTAGAGAAGCCACCTAACATCTGTGAGACTACTGTCCTCTCCCACGCCAGGGGAAACAAGAAAGTGGGCCCGAAAGCCACCAGACTCTCTCCTCCCCAGTGGTGCCCGTCGATGTGTGTCGGGTACAAAGATGACCCAACTCAAGAATCAAATGAAGACTCGGACCCACTTAGTCCTCTTTCTACCAAAAACCACGCCGGGTTCGAGGCCTGTGGAAGCTCTAGTGACCAGGGCGTGGTTATGCACCTGTGGGTGTGTTTTTAAGTATAGGTCAGTTTCAACTCAAAAGCTGCACTTTTCAGTCTCTTCAGAGATCAGCTCATTGGTTTTCTAGCACAGAAGCAGGATAAACCAGCTTCGGTACTTCCTTCTCCTCCATCGAAGGGCATTTCAGCTTGGGCAAGGCTTAAAATACCCCTAAAATGGAGACCAGGAGCCCGACTGTGAGATAATGTATCACTTTACGTGGCTTCGAGGTTGCTGCCAGCCAGCCAGGCACGCTGCCATACAAGTCTACACTAAACGCTGTCCACAGAAAGTGACTGGAGAGTGATGGTGTAGGTGCTATACCCGGAAACCTGAGAGACCACACCAGTGCTTTTTAAAGCCCCAGATTTCTGAGACAGGTGCATCAGGTGAAATCCTACCTCGGGGAACAGTAAACCACCATTGATCGACTGCGCGGCTGCCTCCGAGCCATTAACCTTGGAGACAGGTGTAATGGAGAGCTGGAGCAGACATACTGACCTGCTGCCCAGGAAGACCCACAGAACAGAGGCGAGGGCCTCTGCCTCCTACCTACTGATGTTATCCTGCACAGGCGGGGGCTCTGTGATGCTCGGGGACCTCCCCCGGCAGCCCTGTGCAGAGCTCCTATTTGATACACATGGGTGGGGGCCACGCACATCAGTAGAGGCCACTCCTATCAGCAAGGTTGAGACCTTCCCTGTGACACCAGCCAGAAATGATATATTCACATATCCAGCAACACTTTTATAAATAAGTCAGGTGTCATTTTTACCTTCATTGTTACATTCAGATTGAGCTAACATTCTTTTCTAAAACCACTGTCCCCCTATCCCCAGAAGAGAAGGCAAAGGATGGAAGGCCACCTGAGGGTATCTTTCCTGACAGGCGCTTTTGGGAACTAGGGATTCGTGTACCATGAGCCACCTGTGCTCTGGCGAGGGTGTGCCCGACTGACCCGTGGTCCTGGAAGCACTCTGCGCCTTCGGTCACCGCTGCTGTTACTGTCAGCATCCCGAGAATGAATACTGGCTCGGGAAGACTCACCGAGGCCCAGGTTTAGTAAGTGAACACTGAGTTATCGTTCAGAGGCTTAATTCAGGGTAGGTCCATTTGGGAAGAAACCATGGACTAGGGAGGGCTAGAGCTTTGTCACCCACTGTGAGGTGTGCCGTGACCTGCCAGCCACAGAAGGGATGACGGGGCAGACAGAGTCCCTCACCAGGTCTCCTTGGGTACGTGTGAACTTGTACCTGGCATGTGCGAGGTTCAGAGCAACAGGAATGACGGCAAACGGACCACAAGGACCGAATGCTCCGGGACTGTGGCCAGCTCCTCTTCCTGGGGAGCCGTCTCATCAGGGAGGCTGTGAAGCTTTGCAGCATGGAGAAGAGACAAGCCTCACACGGAGGGGCTGTCTAGCTCAAGACCGAGCTTCTTTATTCACAGGGTGGCGAGGCACTCAGGGGCGAGCGCTTGCCTACCATGCTATAGCCCTGGGTATGATCCCGACACATCACAAAAATAAGCTCGGTCTCATCTGGCAGAGATGTTCCTTCTACAAGTTTCTTTTCTCAGGCAAAACAGAAAAGGGCAGCTGGACAGCCACGAAGCTGGCCAATGCGTACTAGAGTGTCTGAAAGGCCAGGCTCCCAGGCCCATGGCTAGAGGAAGCTGGCAGCCAGGACAGCACCTGGCCAGGACCCCAAGTGCTACCCAGACCTGAGCCTGGACCAGGTGGGACTCTGCAGTGACAGCTGGGGAACATCATCCCTGTGGCTCTTGCTGTGGATTCTATGTTAGTTCTGCACACCCGCACTTAGTTGTTTTAACAGGAGCGTCACATCACCGCCCTGAATGAAAAAGGAACTTCTAATCATTAGTCCAACACCAAGACTCTGAGCCACTGGAACCATGGGGTCATGATTCCAGCACCACGGATCATCTGGGTTTGAACCCTGACTTCAGGAGTCGCTGAGAAGCCTCCATTGCACAGGCAGCTGTGGCAGTGCTGGCCCCAAATGCCTGGCACAGAGAATGACCTGGCCATGACCACACGACCGAGTACAGAGCAGGAAGCAGGGGAGACTGCTGGGCCCATCCGCCGAAGCGGTGGCTTCTCTGGAACGGTCCCGACAGCTGGGGACTGTGCGTCTCTTGGGAGCCTGATAAGGGATGCTGTCTACTGCTTTCCACTGTGAGAGGTGGAACACGCCACAACCCAGACCCAGGCTAAGGGCTGGGGGCTTGGCACCGATGCTCGGGAAAGCTGCCGGCCTGTTTCCCATGAGCGCGTCCCTTGCTGTCCTGGCTCTGCACAGCAGCCCTGAGACTCGAGCCGGCTCCTGCTCCTGGCTGCCTGGCCGGCACCTGCACCACAGACAGAGGCGGAGCTTCTCATGGAGCAGTCACTCCCAGGGCCCAGCTGCCCCTTACAGTAGAGCGCCTTAATCCCCCACGGCACGGCCTGGACAGGTGGACCTGCCTCTACCAGGACCTGCCTCTATCTGGACGCCTCTTCCGCCCACCCGGGCACCTCCACTGCACAAGGTCCGTACCAGACACCCTTCCTAACGATGTGGGCAGAGGTCGTTGGAAAGTGTCCTCTCTTCCCTGAGTCCCCAAGCTTGGGGGACATTCGGGGGTGGCCAGGTAGAAGCCAGTGGCTGTGAAGGAAAATCGGACCCCCCAGCTCGGGACAACGCTGCTTCTCCTCACCTAGATCTGGACCAAAGCCCCAGGCTTTAATACAAGGCTCTCCTGAACGCCTATAATCCCAGCATTTGGGAGGCTGAGGCAGGAGGATCGCTGCAAGTTCAAAGCCAGCCTGGGCTACACAGTGAGTTCAAGGCCAGCCTGAACTGCAGAGTGAATTCCCTTCTCACCCTGGCCCCCAAATTAAACCACGACAAAACAAAAAAGATTTAATACCCCAGGACCTCAATTCTCCAAGTCTACTGTAGTGTCTTTTTTGTATAAAAATGCGTTTTAAAAAGGACATTATCAGTAGTACCCTTTGGTTTATCAAGCTGGTCTATTCGTCTGGTGCTCAGCAACATAATAATGAGTTAGCTTTGAACTATTACCTCTCTGCATGTGTGCTTTAATGTTGCTTTCAGAGGGCCACCAAATACTCGTACTCGGGGCATCATGTTTCAAATGGCCTTAGAGAACCTGAAACCCTTGAAACACGCTGGGGACTTCAACAACGACATACTTGTTCTTCTTCCACATCCCGGCCAAGCTCTGCTTTGCGCTCTTTCTAGCTGTGGTCAGAGCACTGCGTTCAGGTTCCCTCTTCCTTGGAAGATGGTCAACCACTCAAGCCCACAGGAGACCCTAGAATCTCTTGGCCTTCGAGAGAGACGCACCGGTCCTGCAGGGATGCTCCCCACCCCCTGCCCTTATCCGGGAGCCGGGAGAACGACGGGCCACTGCCAGGGGAGCACCGGACGACGACGACGAGACTGCTAACGGAAGTCCAGCAACTGCGAGCAGCCACAGTGGCCGCGGTGAGGCGGGGGACGTTTCTGCCAGCGTGACACCAGCACTCGAGACAGAATGCCCAAGCTCAGCCCGGGAGGGGCAGCATGGGGAAGAGCACCCACCTGCCTGTGGAGCGGCCCCCCGTCTGCAGTCTGCAGCTGTGCTGCACGGTCGCCGGTCTGCACTGGGGTGAGCGGAGAAGCCTCTCCCGCTGGAAAGCCACAGCCTGGGTCGCTGTCACCGTGCTCTGGCCCATCCGCCTGGATTCCAAGCTCCCCAAGCCCAGGGAGGGTCTCTGGATGCTCGCCCTGAAGTCAGCACACATGACACAAAGCTCTGCCTGCGGTCTTTTGCTAGACAGCCCGACTTTCTCTTTAAAAAACAAGCTCTCACTATGTTGCCCACGCTGGCCTCCAACTCCTAAGCTCAAATGATCCTCCTGCCTCAGTCTCCTGAGAACCCGGGAGGGCAGGTTCCTGATTTTTACTGTCTGAAGACAGGTACCCATGTATGGATTGTTGAGTCCCTTCTTTCCCAGGCCTTCCCCCTAAGACGTCCATGTGGAAACTTCACGCACTGGCATCTCTTCCACCTGAACAGCACAGCTCAACTTACTAACAACACCAACGAGAAAGCGTACTGCTCACAACCAGTACTGCTTACGGCTGTCATTTTATGAATTAGAGAACAAATCCCAGAGTACTGACCAACAGGAACCCTTACAACTCGTTCTATTGCCTAACCGTAGTTTTTCCTGTTGTGGGTCTTGGGAAGGTGCTTGAATCAATTTTTAAAGACTTTCTGCAACCTGAGGAGAGACAACTGCCTTTCACAGGATGAAAACTGCACACACGCTGCTAAAGTGAAGAGCAGACCAAAGGTCTTTGGAGGCTCCGAGGAGACCAGCTGTGCTGGCTCAGTAGCCCCCGAGCCCGGGGAGCCCGAGTCACCCGAGTCACCCGAGTCACCCTCACTTTAGCAGTAAAACACGGTCAGAATGCAAGGCCCTGCTTCGCTGCCGTCACTGTCTGGGGACAGAGACAACGGGAAGAACATGCAGGGGTCTGGGGACTCAGCAGAGACCCCGGAGGTGCCTGGCACGTGAGGCCAGCCTCAGGGATGAAGTGGGCAGCAGGGTGAGGGCTCTGGAAGCAGCAAGGTTGGAAAGTCAGGAAAGGACCTTGGGGTGATGACACCGATGAGGTTAAGTCCATGGCAAAGTCGACGACAGCAAAACGGTTCCCTGACGGGCTGCAGACCAGGGTGCTCTCCAGCCAGGCCCGCGCAGCAGACACTGCATCCCAGGCCTTGCCCGAAATCCAGGAGAGGACAGCGGAGTGGGCGTGGCTTGCGCGGAGGTGGGCGTGGCCTCAAGATCCCAGAGGCAAATAGGGGAGCTCAGGCCGCCTTACCTCCACGCCGTCCTCCCCGCCGTTCCCAGACTGCTTCGCCTGCCGCCAGTGTTTCAGCAGCCATCGGAGCTTGACGTAGAACAGGAAGATGCTCTGCCTCAGCGCGCCCAGCTCCCGGTGCAGCAGGGTCCGCTCCTCGCCCCAGGTGCGCGCACGCAGCGTGCTCTGCAACGCCAGGCTCTGCACCTCCAGCTCCTTCCAGCGCAGTGCATACAGGTGCTCCTCTTCCAGCTTGAACGGAACAGAGAGGGTGACGAGTGGCCACACCACCTGCGCCCACGCCCAGCTGGGGCCCCATGTGGACTGGACCCAACCCACGCCATGCCGCGACCCGCGTGGGGAGGCTCCTGACCCAGAGGCATCACAGGCACTTTCCCCACCTGTCCTTGAGGCTGGTGCCATCCCTAACCCTTCAGGACACCTGCTTGCGGGGGACTCGAGGGCCGCAGTAGTAGGTTCCACCTCCCGTGCCCGGGGTCAGTGCACAGGTGTGTCCCACCGTGAGGAAGTGGGGATCCCTCCCTCTGCTCTCCTGAGCCCTGGCGTCCCCACATCCCCACCGAAGAGAACTAGAGCTGATGGGGAGGGAGGGGGGGAGGGAGGGGGGAAGGAGGAACGGAGGGAGACCTGCTCAGAGCTGGCGGGCAGTGCAAAGACTTCGTCCCCAGTGTGGGGTGACCCATTTCCACACTTAGGACTTAACACTCCTATCAGATCTGCGTCTCTCCTAGGGAGGTAACAGCTCTGCTGACAAAGTATCTCCCACCTCAGTGTCGAGTTCGTGCTTTTTGCTTTTCTTTGCAATGGGGATCTTGTTATATCATTCAAGGCGGCCACAAACTCCTGGACTCAAATGATCCTTCTGCCTCAGCCTCCCACAGAGCTGGGACTATAGGTGTGCACCACCACACCTGGCTAAGTTATTGTTGTTAAAACACTTCAGTAGCCTTTTTCATGTGTCAATGATTAAGCAAAAAGGCGCAAATTACATCTTATTTTTCACATAAGGTACAGGAATAAAATCTGCAGTAGCTAAGCTGATACACAAGATGGAAGGCTTCTGTTTCACACACCAAAAAGGGGGTTCCAGCAGCAGGCTCATCTCTGTCACCGCGCTCGCCTGACTGCACACGCCTACTCTCGCCTAAGACCAAGGCAGGGATTTTCCCCGAGTCCTGGACCAAGGCACAGGCACGCTGGGATGAGGACACTGCCTGCCCGGGGTGACGCCGGTGGCCGGGGCAACGAAGGCCAGCGAGGCTGCAGCAGAGGCTCTGGGGAGGCGCTGGGCCCTGTGCAGTGTCACGGCAGCTGTGTGACACCTGCCCGTGTCGGGTTCAGGCAGTGGCGATGCTGTCCAAGTGCCAGCAGCCCTCTGGGTCCCGCCACTCTTCCTCCCTGGGGACATCGGGGTGGGACAGGGTGGGGCGGCTGCATGTGTGGAAACAGCGTCTGCCACACCTTGCTGCTGTCGCGTCCATTTTGACTGCGTCAGAAAGCCTCAGCTTTCTCAGGGGCACACAAAGAGCACAGCTCCTCGAGATGCCGCGACAGGTGTGGGGACAGTGGGGCCCCCACCTGCACTACGCAGCACCTCTGCCCTCTTTGCTTCTTCAGGTCCTGGCCTGCACGTGTGACCCAGCCTCGGGGCTGCCCCGGGGACCTCAAGGGACACTGCCCCCCCCTGCTCTGAGTGGCCTGTGGGACTGAGTCCTTTCCTCCACATATTCCTTCCTCGTGACTCCAAGCTAAAGGCATGCCTGGGACCCCAGCGGCCTCTCCAGCAATAAACTCACTACTCAACCACATGTGGCACGATGCCCACGCATTTTTTAATTAGTCAGGAATTCGTGTTCTGCGTAACACGCAGTTACTTCCCTCTGCTAATGACATTCCCGACCTCCAAGAGTATGTCTGAAAGGGCTGCGCGTCCCCAGGAGAGGCAGGCAAGCACACCCACTGCCATTCCGTAAGCCCAGCAGCAAATGATCCCTAATCAGGCTGTGACCCACTTAGACCCCGGTGGCCTTGGTCACGCGGGGCACACGCATACCGCACATGCTCGTTGCAGCCTTGGTACCTGGCACATTTTATAATAGCGTGGCTGCTTTGCTCTGTTTTAAACACACAGCAATCTTTCAGGAACAAAGGGGAGAAGAGGAGCCACAGCAGCAAAGGACCTGGAGATTGTTTACAACTTAAATCAGACGTGGGACACAGGGGCCGGGGCTGCGGCACCCACAAAGCTCTCATCCTGGGAACTCCGGGAGCAGATCTGGCGGATGAAGGACAATCAGCCTGCAACAGGTTATTCAGAGCAGCTAGAAGCTCCTCCTGCCTCTGCTCATGCAGTGGCAGTGTTCTGAAGACAACGGTTTAGGGTGAGCTGATGTTTCCGTTAGAAAATTCACCTGGTGCGACCTCCACGGCGACAGTCGCACTGCCTGGCCGGCTGGACTGAGACCCCTGCTTGGTGAGCTGCTGCTGGCCCTGCTGCAGGGACCGCAATTGTCGCCCCGACCCCACGGGACTGCTTTCTGCGGTTTCAGCTACCCGTGGTCACACATGCCCCAAGTATCGAAGTAGAAATGCCAAAAATAGCCCACTTGTAAGCTTTGAGTAACGTTCTGTCATTGTAATGGCTCTGCTTTGTCACTGTTCATCTGTCAGTGCTAGGTTCTAAGTTCGCTTTATTACGTGTACGGTGGAGAAAAAACAGTGTGCACAGGACGGGGTACTGTGCGGCCTCAGGCATCCGCGGAACATCCCCCACAGATAAAGCGACACATCTGAGCAGGGCTGTGTGACACCATGTCCCTGTTGACCTGTGCCTCATAAGACGGCTTTCTGTCTTCCCCCTGGGACTGGGGCTGAACCCAGCAACTTCACACTGAGCTGTATCTACTCCCCATTTTTTTTTTATATTTTGAGACAGGATTTCACTAAGTTGTGCAGGCTGGGCTGGAACTTGGGTTTCTCCTGCCTCAGCCTACCCAACTGACATGTGCCACTGTGCCCAGCGCAGACAGGGGCTCTGCAGCCCCGAGAAGGGCTGTACTGGACTCCGCGTGCATATTTACCTTCCGGATCTTGTCTGTCAATGTCTCTGTCTCCTCTTGCCGCAGTCTGGTCTCCTGCGCGAGCTGGCCCTGAAGCTCCGCTATCGATACACTCTGCTCAGGGAAAACGGGAGGGCCCCTGAGCTAGCGGCGGGACAAAGGAAGGGCTTTAGTGGAAATGAGAATGTTGCCCCGGGTGACAACGCAGGACAGACAGTGGCACAACCGGACATACACGAGCGACACGCGTGGGCTGCAGCAGTGGAGTGACTGCGCGACGTCCCATGGGCCCTGTGCCCCGGCTCTGTGGCGTCTGTGACTGGGCAGTGGTGACGCCACTCGCCCTTCAGCTCCACCTGGGAGGCAAGGTGGCTACACAGCGATCTAGCACCTGAGTTCCGCCACCAGCATAACCACGCGGCCACCCGAGAACAGGGGGCCAGAGCACCCAACAGGCTCCCTGCCACCACGGTGGCTCCCAGGTGGCTTCAGGACACACGGAGTGTGGACCCTGGCATGGCTCCTGGGTCGAGCCTGACTCTCCACTCTTAGATTCACCCCCTAAGCCATGCAGGGTCTCCAAATGCACAACCCCTGTGTCCAGATGCTTGCTGGGGAGAGGTCCCTGTCCCGACCCCAGCAGGGTGCCCCAGCCCTAAGCCCGACGGGGGCAACACTGCCCCAGAGGATCTATGCAGAGATCTATTTATCACACGAGATGGTCACATTGAGTCTAGAGGTTACACTCACGTTAAAACAGGTCAAGGAATCTGTATGATTATTCTTCATGGTGAGCTCTACCCTCAAGGTCCAAATGGACCCAAGTCTGAGGTCACACTCATTACTTTTAAAATAAAATTATTTTAGAGGCAGAAACACTGTCACACTAAAAATCTCAGGCATGGTTAAAATTTAACCTGACATTTTTCTTGCTGGCTTGTGCTACATGAACACAGGTGATTCATAAAAGTAGGAGCCAGAGGGGATGGTTGCCATAGAAACACATCATCCCACTGGCTCCTCGTGCATCCCTCTAACCTATCTGTTCAGTTTTCCAGGGGTTACCACTCTTCCTGGCCCACGGGACCAAGGCTGCCACAAGCAAGGGTCAGACCCCAGCAGCAGCAAATGCAGGAAAGCCGAGGTCAGAGACTCTCCCTAGACCACAGGAAGGAGAACAGAGCCAGAGTCTGAGACACCTGGGGAACTCCTCAACTTTGGGTGCAACTTTTGAAAGCTAGAGATTTAAGCTGATCCTATTTTAAGAAACTCAAGAGCTTCTGAGAACATTAAACACTTCTTTGGCTGGGTGTTACACATTACTGCAGTCTTTTACATGTGGGATCTCTCTGAAAACAGGTATCTGTCTGCATGTCAAATTTACCCCAATGATCAATTTTTCATTTCCAAAAGGCCTATTTGATTGTTTTAAATGTGTGCAGTCTCCCTTGAGAACAAAATATTAAGTAAAATAAATCAGACACACTAGCTTACATTTTATATGGTTTCTCTTATAGCAGAAACCCAAAGTCTAAATAAAAGAGCAAAAGAAAAGACCGAGGATAGGAAACAGATGATAGGAGAGAGATCCACAAATGAGGAGCGAGAGATAGAGGGCAGGAGGGCTGCAGGAGCCGTGAAGAGTGCGGAGGGTCGCACGGACTAACACCCCACAAAGTAAGCGACCGTGATGTACTGCAGACTAATGAAAACTAAAACAACGTGTGCTGTTAGGACAGCAACTTACTCTTTCACCATGTGTGCCCGCCATCTACGGCTCTGAATGCGCTCACTGGACAGGGGCTACCCAGTAATCCTCTTATCTGAAGGTCTGAGCACTCAATCCTGCCGCTGCAGGCTCCAGCTGCTGGCGGCTGCTTTGGATGGTGTTTGAAGTTGTGTTGTGAGCTCACTTCAGTGAGCAGTCAGTTATCTACGGTCTCAGCTATGCCTGGGCTGAGAACATGCCTCGCTCTGGGTTTCGGTTTGGAGAATCTATGTCACAGGAGGTCCTGTCCCGGGTCCTCTTGGGCCCACCTGGTGTCCACTGCAAAGCCTGAGGCTGGGAGGGCTTCTGCGGCTCTTCTGCTCCAGCCCAGAGCACACACTGTGTGACCGGGGTCCTGGTGTCACTCTGCTGACCTGCAGCCAACGGCAAATGTCTCTCCTGTGTGTCACTTTTCTTGCCAATCAGTGCTGGGCAAGTCCCTGTCTCCTCTCCCTTGGCACCGCCAAAGCCTGAGATTTCTGGTTATCAACACTGCCACTGCCCTCCTTTACCCCAACAGCCAGAAGCAGCCAATGCCTGCAATTCCACATAAAGCCCAGCCCTCGGAGATCTCCCCACCTGAGCTCTGTGATAAGAGGATGTTTATGTGTCACGCAGCATTTTATTCAGCAGATACTGAGTGAGCTGGGCACTGCCTAGGCACTGGGGCGAGGACGTTAGTGAAACTGCCCAGCCCTGCCCAGGGTTGCTACCTGCAGCACCACATCTTCTTCTGAACATTTTCAGGGGACGTTCTAGCTTTGCTTTTCAGTCACACATTACTCTGCAAGTACAAACTGTGAAGAGCCTCCATATTTTAATGCATCGAGGACCAGCCATAGCTTTCTATCACTAGTGGTCAAAACAGATGTTCTCATAAAACTCACTGTTTAAGAAAAGCAAAGAGCAACTGATTTAGTTTCTATAGAGGCTGCACATCCCTTAACCAAAATGCTGGGGACTGGAAGTGTTCTCGGTTTGGGGCTACTTGCATACGTAAATGAGGTATCTAGGGAATGGGACTCAAATCTAAACACAAAATCCATTTACTTTTGTATATGCCTTATACACGAAGACTGCCCATAACTTTGCCATGTTTTCATCATTCTGTGCATGAAACCAAGTTTCATGGTGTTGAACTTTCCACTTATACAGTTCTGTGGGTGCTCAAAGTGTTAAGGACTTTGAAGGATTTCACATTTCAGGTTAGAAATGCTCAGACTGCTTCCATATTAATAAATATTTGAATTTTCTTATTATGCTTCAGCATAAGATCTGTGAGACCTTCACAGAGGAGGAGCCCAGGAAGAGACCCGCAGGCACTGCAAAGTGGTTCTGCCAGGAATCTCATTTCCCTATGGAGCCCCAGAGCCGGCTGTGGAGGTGGCAGCCTGGCTGGTGACACAAACGTGCTAGGCCTGCTGACCTCCCAGACACTCACTGTCCTGTGGGGTCCACGTTTTTAATACACTAGTAAAACTCCTGCAACAACCACTTCTCACTTGCCGGGATGCCTGCGTCACTCCAGTGTTACAATGAACACAACACAAACACACTCTACCATCACACAACCATCACAGTTACACACATGGGAAACGCTGTCACACGAAACAGACGCTTCCCTTTACCACCAAACCCCCAGATGCACCTGTGAACGCCGCCTCACTCACTTACCTACGACGCCGACTATACAGTGAACGCACCCCCCTGGCCCTTTTGCAAAGGCAGTTTATTTAAACAAGTGCCACCCCTCTTGTCTCTCTGGTTGTTGGGACATTGTCATGACACCCTGAAACTCACCACACCCCCCTCAAGGCTGGAGCCCACACTGCGCATTTCCTGAACATCTCCAGAGAAGGTGGCTTGTGATTTCTGTCCCCACGAAGAACACAATGTCACTTTCTCAATAAGCAAAGAGCAACGCTTCTCATAGTGGTCACTGCCATGCCCAGCGGTGCTCCTCACTTAGGACCCCACAATCCCTGCCTCATCGAGACTCCGTCTCTAAGTCCCACCTTGTCCTGGCCAGGGCTGCCACTGCCTCTTTCAAAAGAGGCACAGGTGGGTCACACATGTGGACAAATGCATGGCAGGGGATCTCAGGGTGGCTGGCATTTCACAGCGGGAGCACGAGGGACAGCAGTTATGTGCGTGTCCACAGTGAAGGGATAAAAGGAGGAGCGAGGGTGGAGAGGTTGAGATTTCTGATGCGGAAACCCTATCTTCTGGACTCCGGCATGGCTTCTCCTCTATGTGAAATCTGACCAGAGTCCACATCGGCCACTTCTCATTCACAACTATTTTTAAGGCGCCTGCACATTCCTTATGAAATACTCTAATGCTGCTTGCTCCGGGCAAATGTGAATCTTGAAGCAGATTTCAAGGGGACCGCAGGGCAGATCCGGGCACGGCGTGGGCACTGTGCCAGCATCTGTGCAGGGAACAGGCCCTGCAAACACTTGTTCCTGGGAGGCCAGTTTGTTATTTAAGCAGCCGACTTCTCACAAGTGCAGGAGTGGGTTGGCGGGTGCTAGAGGGTCCTGGATGTTTGGAGGAAGCTGCCCTTGGGTGCACTCATGAAGCCCAGGGCTAGGGACGGGTGGCCTCCGTGTGGCAAACTGAGAATGGCTCATGTGCAAGGGCGGACCTTCACGGGGTCTGCTACTACTGCTATCGTCGGCATCACCGTCAGCAGCAGTCATCTTAAGCTGGCCACTATACCGCTGTCTTCCCAAACGATCTGTCTTTTTTCTTCTGTCACAAAGAATAAAAACTTTCAAGACCAAAAACACAGAAGGCATCTCACAGATGAAACCGAGGGCCTGTTCCTTCTCTTCCACTTAACTTCAGAATGTTTTCTTCGCTGACGCCGGGTCCCACCTGGCTGGCCTCTCTGGATCCAGTGCCCCTGCCGCCTTGCCCACCCCACTTTACACACACTTGGTGCTTTCTAAGCTCCTTCCTTGTCTGCAGCTTTTTGGTCCGGAGAACTGTCCGTGTACAACCACGCGAAGCCAGCGTGGGGCAGTGTTTTTATTCCCGTTTAACAGATGGGCAACAGGCCAGAGACCCTGGAAGAAGGGAGCTGTGGCCCCGGGGCTCCGATGTCCCTGCTACCTGGAGCTCCGCATGAGGCATACACTGCAGCTGGGAAAGGCGTCTTCCCGAGGTCTCTGTCCTGGACGTGGGTCACGCATGCCACAGGAAGTGTGTATCACCGTGTGTGATGTACCGTAACCTGAATCCTGGAGAAGATGCTGCGAGTGTGGTGGGCGAGCGGAGGTGCTTCCTGTGAAGGCTCCTTAGTCAGAAGGTGCCGCCTTGCTAAACAAGGTCTTCAGATCTTTGCTCTTCTGTTTTGCTTTTGGTAGCAAACCAAGGACCGCCAGCTGTGCGATTCCGGAGCAAGCGCACACTGGAGGTGGTAAGTTGTGACAGACTCTGCACGCGTTCTGGGCACCCTGTATGCTGCGGCTCCCTCCACAGGTTCCGCCTGCTCCCTGGGGGCTGGTGCCAGCGTGGCCAGGCCCGGCAGCGGTGGGAGGAGGTGTGCTTCCCTCTGACGCAGGGACTCAGCTGCCGCCTGCCTGGGTGGGCCTGGCTTCTCGAGCACCAAGGATGAGGCGCTTCACAGGATGCTCCTGAGCACGCCTTTACTGGAGCTTTTCACGGGGAATTTCATGTTCTTGTGTGTGTGCAGTCACAAAGGCAGACAGTGACACACCTTCACGGGGCACGGGCAGCCCAAGTTAGAGCCGCCTGGGCTCTCCTGGCAGGCGGTAGCCCCATGCTTCTGTGTCCTGTGCGGTGACCGGCCCCACCTGTCCCTCACCCCATGCTTTGGCACGAAGAGCTAACACTGGGGCCCCACCCCTCTCAGGACAGCCTGCCGCTCCCGCCCTGCCAAGGACCAGAGTGCTGAGCAGGCGGCAGCCAGACTCGCTCCTTGGAGACATGGCTGCGGTCTGGGTGGGGTTCTTTCTGTCTCAGAGCCCCTTCTGGGCCGGCGGGCCACTGCGGAACAACACAGGTGCCCACACAGGTGGCTGTGGCTTTGTGCACACAGGGTTGCCACGCAATGGCGACAGCTGCCCAGGTCACAGGCAGGGAGTGGATGTCCCTGCTGGTGCCACCAGACTACAGCAGTGTCCCTAGGGACTAGAGGGTCAGCCACACAAGACACAGGCGATGAAGAACCAAAAAGCATTTCTTCCAGACTAGGAAAAAACCCACCTGGCTTTCCTCCCTGCTTTCTCCCAGATCTGCCCACACGCCCAGGCATACCTCCAGGCACCCTGGGTGCCACCCACAGGCACACAGCGCATTCCTGGCAGGTGTGCGCCCCCAGGTCCACGTCCTCCGGCCCGCTCCCCAACCCCCTGGCCCAGGCAGGAAGTCCCATGTGCAGCCGCAGAGCACAGGGCCTTGGCTCACTGACCTCGGGACTAGGGCAGCTCTGGCCTCCTGGCTGGTAGCTCCCGGCGTCCCCATCAGCCCGGCGGTGCAGCTCCCGCACGGTGCGGAGCCGCAGGCTGTCGCGCTCATCCCCTCGGTCCGGCCCCAGCTGCCACTCTGGCTGGTCTCTCAGTCTGGACTGTGAGGTGCAGGGAAGGGATTTGGTCTTTTAAATTTCAAACAAAAAACAAAGGACAAGGGGCCAGGGAGTGCGGAGAGGGAGGTCAAGAAGACAAAAACGGACAAAGTAGATGACTGGAGAAAAAAACTAATGGACAAAAACAGCACGAACAGAGAAACTAGCTTGAACACAGTGGCTGAGAGTGCAGAGAGATGCAGGTGTGTGGAACAGCTGGAAGCAGAGAGGATGAGGAGGGTGAAGACCGGGGTGGTGGGACACATGCAATGGGGATGCAGGCACAACTCAACCGCAAGCACACAGCTACGCGGGACACAGGACAGGGCTCTTCCTTCCTTACGTGCAGGTCGAGCAGCACAAGCCCCATCCGGGCACAGTGGGCCGCATGCCCGGGCCGGGCCGGGACACGGCCCTAGGAGTCAGGGCGGTGGCAGCAGCGACTTTCCAGCAAAACGGGCTTCTCTCCCTCGGAGGGGCTCCTGCCCCTGCTCTGCCTAATCTCCAGTGGCTGCGCCCCCTAGGGCTGCTCCAAGATGCACTGCACCCCTTGGGCACTAAACCCAGAGGGGCTGGGCACTCAGCAGTGAGTCCGCTGCCCATCCTGACCGTGAGGGGCTGGCACCATGTCTTAAACGCCTCACTGCTTCTTCGCCAGGGTGGCTGGATGTTTGCGGCCAGGCCAGGCCATGCAGATCCCTGGGGCCACAAAAGGCTGAGCTTTGTGTCTCGAGGGGGCCGCGAAACCACCGAGCAGCGGCGTGTTAGAGACAACACAGGAGGACGGAGGAAGAAACGCGAAACGAAAGAGAACTCAAAAGCAAAACAGGAGCCCAACCAACAGCGAGGATTTGGTTGGTGCCAGAGGCTTTAGTACAATGCAGGTCTGAGATCAGAGCCAGGCAGCCGTGAGCAGCGCGAGCCCCAGAGCAGCCAGGCCAGCGAGGAGGAGGAGGAGGAGCGGGGCGGCGCGGGGAGGCAAGGCCGGGAGCCCCCTTACCTGCAGGTCCGGGCCCAGCTCCTTCCCCAGGTTCCCAACAGGGGAGTCCCGGGACACGGAGGTCGCGGTGGACAGGAAGCTGGACGACTCTGTGAGGTGGGGCAGGGGCGACAGGCCGTCCCCCAGGCGGGCCATCTGTTCCAGGAAGGCCTGCAGCTCCTTCCGGAAGGCCTTCATCTTCCCGTTGATGGTCCCCAGCAGGGGGGGCTCATCCTGGCCCCCCCAGCCCCTCTCGCCCTCACCCCGGAGCCCAGGTGAGTCCCGCAGAAAGCTGTCGGTGTCGGTGATGAGGTGCTCCACGGTGCGCTCCAGCCGCTGGGCCTCGTGCTTCAGGGTCACCAGGCGCTCGGTGTCCTCAGGCGCCCTGAGCTCTGCCAGGCAGGGCTCGCTGGCCTCCGACGGCTTCCCGCTCCCGAAGCCCGACGTCTTCTCGAACAACTCATCTGAGTCGCTCTCCCCACCCACAGGGCCCTCCCGCTTGGGCTGGGGCAGGCGGCCGTCCTCCACATCGCCCTCCTTCCGGCCTGTGTCACTCTCAACATCGCTGTCTCGGGGACTCGGCGCCCGCAGCCCCAGGTGGGTGTCAGAGAGCAGCGCCAGGTTCTCGCTCTGAAGCTTGAGCACCTTCCCGCTCAGCTCGCTGATCTGCAGCCTGGCGGAGTGCAGCTCCTCCTGCAGTGGGGCCATGCTGCCCTTCCCCACGCCATCCCTGAGCCACCCCGGCTCCTGGCAGGGCTCAAACTTGAACTTGCTCAGCTCGTGGGTCAGCTGCTGGTTGTGGGCCTCGATCTCGGAGATGGACCTCCGCAGCAGCGCGGCCTCCTCTTCCACGAACTGCAGGTGCCGGCGCAGTTCAGCGCAGGACTCCAGGGAGTCCCCGAAGGGCGAGGTCGGGACGCTGGGGACACGGTCCCGGCCAGCTCCCTCTTGCTCGTGCTGGGCCCGCATGTCCTCCATCTCCGCCTTGAGGCCCCGGTTCTCCACCTCCAGCTCCACGATCTTGCGGCCCAGGATGTTGGCTTCCTCCTCCACCAGCTTGAGCCGCAGCTTCAGCTCGGCCTCTCGAGTGCTGGGGGGCCCGCCGGCCTCCCCCACGGGCAGGGGGCTGTCCACATCCCCGTAGAGGGCCTTGTACTTCTGCAGCTCCTGCTCCAGCTCATCCTTCTCCCTGTCCAGCTTGGCCATCTTCTTGCGCATCAGAGAGGCCTCCTCTTTGGCAAACTGCAGCTGGCACCTCAGGTCGGCGCTGTCATCCTGCCAGGAGAGAACAGCCCGGGAGATGCGTTACTTGAAAATACCAAATGCTTATGTTTCTGGTGTTCCCCTGGCACCTCGCCCCCAGCACGCACATACAAACAAACACCCATCTTCCCATTGGCACTAAGGCAAGTTATGCAAGGGACAGCAGCCCGACTGAGCGGCAGCAGCCAGGGGCTCTGTGGAGGGGCCCGGGAAAGGCTGCCGCTTGCTGCTTTATCACGGAAGCATGAGAAACCGCAGGTTCTTTGGAAGGAGCATGCACACGAAAGCCACCACACGGGTCACGTATAGGGCAGATGATGAAGTTAAACCCTATGCCCACAGGTACTGCGGTGGCTGAGAGTGACCGTGCAGATCCAACCCGGCTCCTCACCAGCACCCACTGCAGAGACACCAGGACCCCTGGCGAAGTCTGGTGCCGGCAGAGGTCTGGGGCCACACCCCTAGGGCACCACCTCGAGGAACCAGTGGGATGGGGACAGGACGCCTGGCAACTCCCAGTCTGAGCCCAGCCACCAGCGATGGCTGAGGTCCCTGAGACGGCACCGCAAGGACAACGCGGGGACGACCCAATGAGGGAGGGGCAGGAGGGCGCTTTGCAAGCCCCGTGACAGCTCAGTCCTGAGCACTGGCAGGGAGCGCTTGCCGGCTCCAGGGAGTTGGACCCCGGACCACTCCAGCCTCGCCCCCAGGGGCCCTTCAGAACCTCTGGTGCTTTCCTCTCCCCCAGCTGCTGCGACACAGCAGGTAAACTCAAGGCCCAAGGTGGAGCCCGGCAGCCGACAGAGGTGTGTTCCCAGTCAGAGCGGTCCTAGGCAGAAGCCCAACTGGGGGCGCCAGAGGGCTTGGGAGGGTCTCCAGGGCAGGCTGTGTCCCTGGCGGCTTGGGCTGCCTGGTGGAGGAGAGAAGGCGCTTTCTGGGTCAGGAGGGGCGGTCAGCACCCCCTCTCCAACACGCCCTTCACGCCTGATGCGGTGTGGGCTCCGTCCTAGCCTTAGAAAGCAATTTCTAACTCATACTCAGCGAATGGGGATGGAACAGCGGCCACTTCACAGGCCATTCCTCTGACCATCTCCACTCCAAACGGCTGATGGGAAGGATGAAGAAGTTGGCCAAGACGTCCCCACCGCAGAGGGAAGTTGTCAGCAGTGGCTCTGAGATGCACCACCCGAGCAGCCCAGGCTCTCCCCGAACTCTGGAGCAAGCCCACCCCGTGGCGGGGAGGACCCAGCACCCACCAGGGCACCTCCCTGCCCTCCTGCCTCAGCACAAAACCAGAGGGGAAGACGCAGCACGGAAGACTGGAAAAAGCCCCGACTGAGCTTAAGGCCTCGCCCTATGACTGCCGTGAGGAGCGACAGCCCCCACGGCTGTGCCCTGGCTGGGCTTAGGGCGGACACCCTGCCCAGCACCCCAGCTCTGCTCCCCACCATCTGGGGTCGTGGTGAACCTGCTTCCTGGTGTCTAAATCAAGATCCTTGCCAAACCCATGTTGGGAGGAAGGTCCCTGGAATCACACACAGCAAGACGAGTCCTGGCGGTGATCACGACACCCTTCTGCCCCAGAACTAGGCTTCTTTGTCTGAGTGCAGTTTACTTTGCAGAAAGAGGTCAGTGACTCTTTCGTTTTCCATAAAGGTCACTCGTCCCATTAACGACTTGGTTTGGGTTTGGTCAGGCAAACATAAGGGTGTCTGGGAGCACCTGGCGAAGGGTGCTGGCCCTACTCGATCACTGGGCACAACGGTTCTCGTTGACATTAGGGTGGTAACCTTTTTAGGTAAAGGCCAACCGGGATCATTCGAACTGTAAAGGACGTGTCGTGTTTACCCCCACACTAAGCACCTTGCCCATTTGCTCCTTCACCCTCCTTTCAGCAGGTGTTCAGTGTGTGCCAGAGACTGGTACGCTGCTTATCAGAACTTTCTAAGGTAGCACAGGCAAAGGCAGCTTTCCAACCTTCTGTAAAACAAAGAGGTGCAAGGAATCCAGGTACACGCACAGGTCTCAGGTTCCAGTGAAGGAATGGAGTTCGCAGGAAGCTCAAGTACACACATCTCAGTGGAGATGGGGCAGGGACTTTGTAAATGAATTTGTTGGGAGTAGAACACCACCCGGAAGCCTGGGAGGCCCTCAGCCCCTCCGTTCCCGAAGTCAGCGTTTGCGTATCAGCCAAAATCAGCTGTGGGGCCCCTTTAGCCTCCTCAGCCAAGACGTCAGGGCCACAGGGCCATCCAGTGGGGGACCCCGCAGTGACCAGTGTGAGGTGGTGAGGTGGTGAAGGCTGCCCAAGGGTTGTGGCAGGGCAGAGCTCTTGCCTGGACCCAGGAGCGCAGACGGCAGAACCTGGGAGGAGGGTCTCTGAGAAGATGCAGATGCATCAAGAGTCCCGTGGGGCCCTCCACACACCCTGCCTCCGGGCAGGACCTCCCCGAGCACCCGCACCCCACAAGCCTGACCACTGGCAGACCGTCCCCGTCTCTGGGAGCCCAGACCGAGGCAGGTGGAAGCACACAGCTCCAGGTGCACCTGGGGCCACAGATTCACAAATTACCTGAGAGTGACAAGGTGGTGTCTTCTGGTTCCCTAAAGGAAGAAGCTATGCAGGCAGCAGGACCGCCAGGGGATGGCTGGGCACACTCACTGCTGCTCACACCCGTGCATGCACGACGCAGCTGCCACCAGGGCTGAAGCAGAGCTGGGGACCCTGGGAGCACGTGTGGGGATGGGCAGAGTCCTCCTTGAGGGTCACCACGCCCAGGCCCTGGAGGAGCTGAGCCTGGCCTGTCCACTCCCAAGAAAATGGGGGTCACAGCCGAGACTCAGCCTGCAGGAGGCCCGACACCTGTCTTATCTCGTAACCAAGGACACTGCAAACTGGCCAGCTGGGGCTCATGCCTGTTATCCTAGCACTGGAGAGGCTGAGGCAGGAGGACTGCAGCAAGTCTGAGGCCAGCCTGGGTGACACAGAGAGTTTAAGGCCAGCCTGAACTGCTACGTGAGCCCTGTCTTAAAAAAAGACTTTGGAACCTGCCCAGATGCTAAAGGAAGCCCAGACTGAGGCCTAAGTGTAGGGTACCAGCACCCCGCAGACAGCTCCAGGAGGGCTGTGTGACAGTTCTCCACGGGAACCGCTTCCCACTGTGCAAAGAGAGGCAAGCATGGCAAGGGGCAGACACACAGGGCCAGCACCGTCACCTCCAGCCGGAAGGGCCTTGTCAAGCAACAGAAATATATTGCAGTCACTATATATTCTTTGGCTTGCAAGGCTGCCGCGTAGCCAGCACCCCAGTGCTGACGGCTGCGTGCCTACCTTGCACCAGGGCGCCAGCTTCCTTTGGGTTTTGGTGGGCAGCCTGCAGTTCCCAAGGCTCTCCGCTCCAGCTTGCTGCTGAACAGAAACTCCTTTCTCAACCACCCTGCAGGCAGGCAGAGGGGCTCCACGCCCGGGCCCAGGCCTGCACTCAGCCAGCAGAATGGCAGCTCCCGGGTCGCAGGTCTCACCCCCAGGGAAACGCTGCTCCCCCCAGCGCACTTGGCCACAATCATCCTTGCAGAAAAAGCTCTTTGCTGCTCAAGAGCCAGGAAAATAGAAACCTGCCCCAGGCCTGGGAGGGTGAAAGAGCCCAGCACTAGGCATCGAGACCCCTGGGTGAGGTTTGGGGGGACAGAAGGCGGGGCAGACGGTTCGCCGTTGCATTCCCGCTGCTCACACTGCCCGGCCCTCGGTGGACGACACTCTGGGGACTGTGAGTCTGGGGGTGCAGACACCGGAGGGAGTCAGTAGGAGCCAAGGTGTGTGGGTCCCAGGCACAGGGCCACTCTGCAGCTTCCAGGGCACCGACTCGGGCATCTCTCTCATTACTGCGTGGGCACTCAGGGTTCGGGGAGCTGATAAAAACACCTCTTTTCCCCAATACCTCAAACTAGCAGCGATTTGAAAAAAAGGGAGAGGGGCTGGGGATTTAGCTCAGCAGCAAAGCACCTGCCTGGCAAGCGCAAGGTCGTGAGTTCGGTTCCTGGTACCGGAGAAAAACCAAAAAAAAAAAAAAAAAAGGGAGAAAGGAATCCAGCAACACAACTTTTCAGAAAGTCAAAATAGCTCTGAAGAACACCTACTGTGTGCATAAAAAGGGCTGAGCTTTTACTGTTTTCTCCCAGCTAGGATATTTTAGTGTTTGGCTTGCATATTGAACATATGCACGCCGCGCACACACAAAAACCCCAAATCCTAAAACAAAACAAAACACCCCAACAGCTTTGGAGGACCCAGCCTCCCAGGGCTGCGTCATTTGCTGGGTGATGTTGGGGTTGGGCTGAGGGGTCCTGCGTGACCCTACCTGCGCCGCCTCAGGTTTCACACAAAGCCAGTCTGCTCTTCCTAGAGAAACCTCCAGCCTTTCCCACAGGGACAGACAAGAGGGAGAAGCTGTGGCATGCGGGAACAGGCTCACCCACGCAGCTGCGAGCGAGTCGGTGTGTGGCGGGTAATGTTTCTCTGAATGCGTTGAAGGCAAAGCTAATACTGGTTGGCCAAAATTCCAAATGCGACTGCTACCGCTTCAGGAGCGGCGACCTTAGCAGGAGAGCCTCGCTTACCTGGCTGAAGGCCTTCTTCTCCTTGTACACTTCCCGGCTGCCTCTTCTCTTCAGGGAGCTCTGGAATAGATCCACATGACATGCTGTTACTGGCGGTCCCGGGACAGCCAGCACTGCCCCTGACGTTGGGGACACACAGGCACGAGGCTGCTTTCCTCTGGAGTCAAGAAAAGACGTAGTCCACAGTCCAGCACCGGAGTGGACGCTGCTGGTGAGGACTTCGAGCACTAAGAAGTTGACCCCACCCTATCCTGGACCGGGGGACAGGGTCCTCAATTGTCCAGTTTAATGAAAAAGCAGGTGGCCTGGACAACATGAGCCACGGGAAGAAGGCAAAGGAGAGGACCCAGGCAGAAGTTTCCGGACACATACGTGGCATTTCTGGAGCCTGCTTCTTTCCCAGTTATGCTTTGTTTGGGCTACTGTCAAAATGAATGGGTGCATATGGGTGGTGAGATAAAAAGTGGTCGGCAGGGGGGAAAGTGGCTCTTGTTTGTGGGGGAAAAACCCCCACAAAAACCTGTTGCAAAACTCTTGAACACCCCACTCCAATTCATGAATAAACCAACGTCTTAGAGATCAACACGGAAAATTAAAGCTATTTATTGCTCTGTGAAGAGACCTTGGCTATGTCCCCAGTGGGCTGGGTCCCTGCCTGGCTTTCCACAGAATCACCTCTCGGGATCACAGTCCTGGGCAAAGGGTTCCCGGACACCTGTGGCTCCCCAAACCCTTGAAGCCCAGACCCCTAGTAGGAAATGCTACTGTTGTGCAGACCCCACATGCATCCCCACACGTGGCAGTGCACATAGCTGCTCACACGGTGCTGGGTGTGGGATGAAGGCAGTCCCCCCACCCCCGGACGTCTTCACGTCATGCTTGGCCGGACCCACAGACACAGATCCATGCACAGCGGGCTGGCCGTGCAGGAAGAGGGTGGCAGCCAGGCCGCCTGGTGCCCTCAGAGGTGCACCTGTGCCTGTGAACTGCAAACACAAGCCTGACTCGGAAATGTCCGAAGGAGACTCACGGCAGGGTGCAGGAGCTGGCTGCTGCTCCTAGCCATCCACACGGCCTGCAGACAGGAGGCCTGAAGGGGAGCCCCAGGGCACACATGGGGTTTGTGGCCTCTCAGTCTGAAGACAGTGCATGAGTCCCGGGAAGCGGAAGCCAGCAGACAGGAGAGCAGGCTCTCTGGTCAGCACCCGGACCCAGCAGTGGCCACAGCTCTCCCAACGGCCCTCTCCTCCCTCAGCAGCTTGGCTCCGACCCAGAGGTGGGTTGGGAGCCTGACCTGTGGTGTGGCCTGTTGGGGTTACCCTGCATCACCACACTTTGGAAAGGAGGCAGTCAGAGCTCAAGTTAAGCTGGGCATGCCAGCACACAGCTGTAGTCCCAGCACTGCAGGCTGAGGCAGGAGGATCACCTGGGCTACACACTGAGTTCAAGGCCAACCTGGAAAACAGAGTGAGACCCCATCTCAAAAGAAGACAAAAACTCAAGTTGCTTAAGTTGGTGCTGCTTGTATTTTAAGCACCTCTCTCTCAGAATGCTGGGCTTTGGCATTTATTGGAGAGATCTGAAGTTAACATTATAATTCGGGCTACCCCTTAACTCTAGGACGCTGGAGACCCAGGGAAGAAAACAGGCCCTGAGACACCCCAGAGAAGAGAAGGGCCAGGGAGCTGGCAGGGCAGCCAGGGCCGCCCTCGGGACAGCGGGTGGTGGCACTGTCTCTACAGCCTGGTGGCGGAATTGGCTTCATCTCCTGCCGTCTTTTTGGCTGAACTACACCAAGAGCCAGTCTGCTGCAACAGGCGAGGTAAAGCCTGTCTGAGAGCACTCTGGACGGTTCTGCCCACAGTAAGGAGGTTTTCCAGCTTTCCCCTTCCAGCTACAAGAAGGAGCTGAGAGAGGAGTGCTCCTGACGGGCACACAGAGAAGCATTCCAAAGGGAAGCAGGCAGAGACGCTCCCTCGGCGAGTGTGTGAGCAGTTCAAATCCACGGCTCAAGAGCAGTCCAGGCCCTCGCTGCACCCACCACATTCACCTGGGGAAGAGGACACAGATTCCGCACATGCAGGGGGACAGCTAAACATGCAGGACTGAAAGGAAGGCCAGACTCGGAGACCAAAGGGGCCTCGTCTGGATGCAGAACTACGCGCGGCTGCATTTGGAGCTGGAGGTCAATCACATTCCAGAGAGGCTCCTGGGGGACGGAGAGATGTGCAGCGGGGTGGCTTCCTCCTGCCCCTCCCAGTGAGCCTCGCCCCTGCACGTGGCTGTGATCTCCAGCCCCCGGGCCTGTGATCTTTCTAGCGAATGACAGAACGGACAGGTGAGCGTGGAGCCCCTCACCACGGCAGGGTTGAAAGCTCATGAGAAATCCACAGGGTCCGCCTGGAGGGAACCGGAACACCGAGCCGGTGCTTCGGACAGGAAGGCACTGTGGGACAAAGATGTGTTTTTCTCAAGTCATTTTATCAGTATGATGTCATTTTAAGTACCCTCTATGTATGTAATACACACGCATATATTATATACATGTTCATGTATGTGATACAGTATGTATGCAGTTATAGGTGATATGCCATAGGTAATACATTATGAATATTCTGACACATATTACAGGTGCCAAGTCTGTACACAACACACTGCACATATGTACACAATGTTGTATGTACTATATTGCATGTACTGTTTAAGTGTGTTTGAGAGTGGCTGAGTGTTTGCAATGATTTGACAAAATGATTCAAAACTGTACCTAGATTAGAAGGTGGCAAACTATGGTCTCAGAATAAATCAAGCCGCAGGCTGTTTTGTAAACAGCATTTTATTGGAAGTCAGCGTCCTTTCGGATTGCTTTTCTATGGCTGCCCTCTGCCACAAGGGCAAAGCTGAGCCCCAGGGATGCCAAAGCCTGAAATGTTCACTCCCAGGCCCTTTGTGGAAAGAGGGTGCTGACCATGATAAAGAAAAATAAACTGGTCGAAAGAGCCACGAATACTGTGCCACAGAAGGATAACAACAGTAGGTGTGCACTATCAGATCCAGGAACACAATGGCCTAGTGCCGGCACATGGATACACACGTTAATGGAACAAAACAGAAAGCTCAGAAACAGCTTTGAGAGCCTACGAGATTTTATAAAAATCCATACAGGAAACCAGTGAGGAAAAAAGCTATCTGGTGGATGTCCTTGAAATAATTGTATAAGAATTCTAAGAGTTAAAAAAAATGTGAGATCTGCACTACACATCAAAATAGACCCTAAGACTGGTGACTTAAAAATGTAGATACAAAAATTCATAAAGGAATTAGGAATAACAATGAATTTCTATTTACTCCTAGAGCATGCTCTTTCTTTCTAAACACAGAAACAAAAGCAAAAACATTCCCAGGGAAAGACCGTAGGTTGGCTAAGATTTTTATCTTTCTATCTATATCCAAAGAAACCACTTAATAGCATTAAAAGGCAAAGGATAAACCAGGAACAGAATCTAAGTCATGATAGAAGAATACTGTGCAAGCAACAGGATAACCATCTTAGTAAGAAAATAAACACATGACCGATAAACATGATCACCAGTAATTAGAACAAGATACCTTGTTCTTCTACTTACAAGATTTATAGGCTTCAAAAAAAGTAGGGTACCCAGCATCAACAGGCACCCCCAGAGGCGAGCACTCCCACATGGATGCTTGGGCCTTGGGCGGGGGCAGCGTTTTGAGTGACGGCATTACCCTACCTCAGGCACGTGGCTGGGGACAGGTGCAGAGACACAGCCAGGATTCACAGCTCACAGCGCTGCCACCATACCTTTTATAATCCTCAGTGCATACCGTGAAGGTCCTTTTTTTCTTTATCTTACTCTGTATATTTAGGGACCCAGGCAACGCTTTTAGATTTTTATCATGGGGAAGGGATCACTGCAGCCAAGCTAGTCTTGGTTAGCTTTACTCTTCTCTTGGTAAATTACCAAGACCTATAACCCTCATTGTACACAGTCAGCCTCGAAATTCAACAGTGCTTTTGAACCTGAAAGATATAGGAAACACTCACGTACATTAAAAGGAAGACCCAAGTGGAAGACACCATTTGTTTGGTGATCTCAACATGACTATGTATCACGGGTGCACACAGGAAGGTGGGCTGAAGGAACACGCATCCAAACGTTAACGAGTGATCATCTTGAGGGGAGAGAATTACGCGTGGTTTTAGTTTTCTTTTTGGTAGTTTTCATAGCTCCCAAATTATCAATAGCATATGCCATTTCCTTTAAAATAGGAAAAGAAAAATAAAACAAGGACTGCAGGCACAGTGAGGTGGAACAGTGTGTGTTTAGCATATGCAAGGTACCTAGCGCCTCAATAAGTAAGGAGATAGGATTAGAAAAGCCAGGAAATTGAAATTTTATTTTGAAGATACCAGAGAAGAGCCCTTCGGTAACCTCCTGTGAGCGACTGCAGTGGGGTTGCGCTGGCCCACTTCCTGGGTCTCTTCCCACGCGCTGGTACTGTTTCTATTAGCCTGGTCCTCTGGGTCTAACTACATAGAGAGAGTTGGTTAAAAAAAAACCAGGAAGCCCCCCGAGGCTGGGGAAACTGGTGGGGTACTGCACTAACTTGGGCCTAGAGCCAAGCAGTCATGAGTGACCATCCTCACGCCCAATGCCTTGTCCAGCAGAGAGCTGGCAGCCACGGGACCGTGGGTCTGGGGGAAGGGTGGGGAGGCGGTGGGACCCTTTGCGTGCACATCCAGGGAGCGGCTCCTCCGCAGGACAATGGAAGAAGAGGGGAAACGCAGACCCTGGAGGGGCGCCTAGCCCGGTGATTACTCCTACACTTTCTTTTCAGTCCGGTCAAACTGTCAGCAAATCAGCTCTACATTCCCACTGAAAGGGGTAAAAAATTAAGTTTGTGCATCCAAATTGAATCCATCTAAGGCCAATGCATTTGCTGAGTGTGATTAAGTAAAATATGCAGTTAGGCAATGATTTGGACTTTCAAGTTAATTCTTAATGCTTCCTATTTTAGGTTTATTTCTTCCAAGTAATTTC